TGAAGACATTCATAAAGTTACCATTCTTGGCAACAAAAACTATGTATTCAAAAAAGCAATTTACTGGACAAAGAAGAGGGGTTTGACAAGCTTTTGTGTCATGCAATTTGACTGGATGTCCTAGACCTTCAAAGTTTGAACCAAATCAGCCAAGGGTGATACACTGCAAATCCAACATTAGCTAGCAAAAATGCCAAAGCTGTAAAAAACTTACGACTCTGACTCTTTTTCCCATGGCTGATGATGGCAGATTCTTCCTGAACTTAGCTCGTACAGCTCACGCTGTTTCCGTGAAAATTTGGGTGACTTTACCCCAGATGACTCTGATACGGCTAGCTTTGTCATGTCCAGGACATGCTGTCTTCCTGTAAAAGTTAGAGATAAAAGGATCCTACAGATCAATCCTAATGAGATAATACTAGTGCTCTTATTATGCTATGTTTTCTGACTGAAAAGAACAAAATGTCTCAATGCCACTTTGCTTTAATATTAAATGAAAATCAACAGTCAATTTAAACATTTAACAAGTTAAAATGTTGAGTTATTTCAGACAAATGCCTCAATTAGCCTCACATTAGCAGAGAATTCCTCTCTCAACAGACACAACAAGAACTGTTCTGTCCGTGAGTGAATCCCAAACGTAACTCAGTCATCGATGTCATCATCAATACTCAATAAAAATAATCCCCCCCCCCCCCAAAAAAAACTCTGCACCAAAAATATTGCAGAATATTTGTTAAGACTTTTCTTTAAAACATATCAATATGATTTTCTCAGATATAATCATACTTTTTGAATGCTCTAGCTCAATCTAGGTTAGAACTAACAAAACTGTACACTCTGATCGAAGATTTTTCTTTTTACACTTGTCTTTCATTTATCAATTCACCAAAATGATAATGAAATATAAATTTTTAAGCTTTAAACTCTCAGTGATTTATCTAGCTATTTTGTTTTACTACCGTTTTATAAGTAAAGGGGAAAAATGAGAGCCGCAGGCTCGATCCCATAACGCCGGAGGCGCAATGTATCTCGCCTCAAGGGGGTTTCTTGGGGCATGCCCCCCAGAAAATTTTTAAATAAATGGAGCAAAATCCTGCATTCTTAGAGCTTCTGATGGTCTTTTGTAGACCTTTACAAAGGCCACAAAAACTTCATTTTTGAGACAAAATATTAAATAACAAAAAAAAAATTTAAACCAAATCAGTACTTTATTTAATTTTTTCTCTCAACATCTATCACAAATCAATTCTGTCTCTCATGTTTCACTACTAACATTGTTTTTGTTGTTACTCCACTGAGCCAATAATGTGGCTTCTGATTCATAGTGATTTAAGCGCCATCTTACTCATCTACACTTTTCTTAACTCTGCAATCGCATACGTATATTTTGACATCATTGACATGGCACATGTTTACCGATCAATATCAACTAGAAGCTTGATATAATCTACTCTCGCTTTTAAAAGCGTTTGAATGACTAGGATTGTGAATTAGGATCATCTTCCCAAGTCAAGAGTTTTGTCCGCTCCGCTCCACATAAACCCTTGACCGAATAGGCTAAGTTTGACGGGGTTTACTGTCACGCCATCTAGTGAGATTACATATGTTGAACTCTCCTGACCTCTGCTATTATCCAATCAGAGTAAACGAATTCAAAAGCGAATTCGAGATAATATTGGTAGTCGGTAATAAATTCAATATAACTCAAGACAACTAAAAAACTGAGACAAACCTTTAAAAGGGCTATCTAATGAAAAATACGTAATCCTTGGGACTAAAACTGGCGAGTTTTTCTATTTACGATGTAGTTTCAGTTTAAATAAAACTGGTTCATACAAACTTGCAAACATGCAACAAGAGAACGCATTTCTAACCCCGTCAAACTTTGCCTTTTCGGTCAAGGGTTTATGTGGAGCTGAGCGGATCAGAAACTCTTGACTTGGGAAGATGGAATTAGGATATGCTGTTAAACTTCAATTGGACAAAAACGGAAAATTTCAGTACGATGTTTTTAAATATTCTCCGTTTAATTTGGAGACTTTTCTATCTGAAAAGGGGAATTTTTCACCTTTTTCAAGAGGGGAAAGGTACCGTTTACTGGTAGTAAAAACAGCCTTGATAAATCCCTGACTCTGAACAGAAAACATGTTCATTTCATAGGGATGCATATTTCAAAATATTTCGTATCGTGATATATCACAACTTTTCCCCACAATATCACCATAATATCATGATATTTTTAAAAGCAGTTTTTACAATGATTTTATATGAAAAGTCATTATTTTTCTAAAAAATATGCTAGAATAACAAAAGTTTACTTTCTTGAAATTTTTATGTATATAAATCAATTATGTTTGAATGGTAAGATGCCGTTCTTTTCACTTTTTACAACATTTTTTATACTTTCTGTAATTGTAATTTGAAAGATTGAACAAATAAATAAATAATTTCTGGACTTTATAATATGTACTTAAAGACCGGTATTTAAGTCTCTGTATCATGATACGTATCACACAACAAAAAATTGCGATATACCGGTATACCGATAAAATCGCACATCCCTATCATTTCAGAATCTAAACTTTCCGTTTCATATCTGTACTCAGGATAATATAGAACTCTGTATTCCATACCTTTTTGCCTTGTAAACGTATGCACATCTTTTGCCATAATAGAATGGTGTGTCTTCCTTGCATGTGACTCCATCGATTTTCAAAAGAGCGGTGTTTTCATGTTGGTTTCTCAGTCCTCTCTTGTAACCGGTGAAGACAGCCTTACAGTATAACCTGAAATCATTTGTTATTAAGTCAGCTATACAGTACAACCTTCATGAGAGAACTAATTTTGTATCATTTTTAAAGGGGAAATAAGCGCGATTTTTTTTTTACCTTCCTAATTTTTTAGGTGGATTTGCTGAAGGTGTATTTGCTTCCGCCATTGTGCTTTGTTACCTGTATGAAATAAAATCCCTCGTTAGATATGTTAAAAATCAATAAATTCATTCAAATTTAAATTGGAAGGCCCACCATAAACAATGGTATAAATTATGCTGTGCTAAATAAGAACAAAGTCGCACTTGGGTTCTCATTTCATGTTGTCTAGATGTGTAGAGTTTTCAAACTGAATTTGATTATATCAAAATGTTTTTCAATATTTGAAGTTCATATTATTATTGTTAATAGCAAGCACAGTTGCACTACTTGTCACTGCTAGCTTTTAAAACAATGCCTGGGCGAGAAAATTTGAATTTTGATCTGCAGTCACCTGCAGTCCCATAATCCTTAGAGCAATGTATCTCGCCTCAAACTACTTTCTTACAGTAACAAGACATTTCAAGAAAAAAAAAACTTGGCTTGATTTTAATGGATATATCAGGGTTGTGGTAAACCACTCGCCCATTCGCCAATGCGATTAAAATTTCAAGTGGGCGATGAGTAAATCAAAATTTGATCGCCCACATGGCAAGCGTCTTGTTCCCGGAACATGACCGTGCTTTGTTTGTATTTTTATAATCCACTTCCTTTTTTCATAACAAACACTACGCTAACCATGACTTTTGGTGTCGTGTGCAAACTATTACATTTGTATACGATACAAGCACTTGCGTGACCTAGACATATGCCCTAGTGAAACCAATAATGTGGCGGTTTATTGATGGAGTATAAAAAAAACAAAAACGTACTGCACAACCACAACGTAATACATATTTTAGCGAGTACAACTGCAACATGTGAGCCCGTAAATCACATTGTGGGCCCCTAAACTTTGAAAAGTAAGGGACCCACATGGCTCCTAGGATGTAAATGGTTAACCACAACCCTGATATATAGTAGATTATATGTTATTAGTAAAATTCGCATTGCTCAGACTTCGATTTGTCATGTATCGTCAAAGTCTATACGTAGCAAATGGCACGTACACTTTGTACAGCCCGATCTAAATCAAAACTAAATAAGTATCCGCACTCACTCTAACAATTAATCACACAGTCAATGTATTATAAATATTATCATATTATAATATGTTGATAGTGCGACCGTTAGAGCAAGCGCAAACTCTTCTATTGTTTTCATTTAGATCGGGCTCGTCAAACCGCAAGTGACATTTGGTGCGTCTAGACTGCTCTAACGGTCTCGCTGTCAACATATTACTAGATATTTATAATCAACATATAACTAGATATTTATAAACACAGCCACTGTTACATGCACAGGGACTGATCTTATTTTAAAATTTCATGTTACAAAGGCCATGATTCCAGACTTAAAGCAGATACCAATTCATGTTTAACTTATGCACTTAATTTTCATCTGTTGTCAGAAAAAGAAAATATTCATTCAGGGTTAAAAACACATCAAGAACCCCCCCCCCTCTCTTTTCCCATACATCTCTCTCAGAATATATATTCCTCTTAACCTTCACTTACAAAAAGAATTAAAAATTACAGTTTATACATACAGTCTCATAAATATTTCGTTATTCATGCTATTTAGCGTTTTTTCAACACAGAATTCTCAATTTCATGCCTTTTTCTCAGGTATTTCATGAACAATCTGTCAAAAATCCCACCGTAAGGCTATCATCAAACATTAAATTTATTATTTACAGATAAGAATATCTTAATTTAAGATGGGCTCCACACATCACGCAACATATCGATACACTAACTAGTAAAAGTTTAAAAATTAAAAATAATGTTAACTTTGTCAGTACCAAAACAACGACGGGAGATTGAAAAAGGAAGCGGAAGTATACTCAGCCTTACCACATTTCCAAATATCTATGTAAAAAAAATCCTCAAAAATTAAATTGAAATATGGTATGTTGGAATAAATAGAATTTTTATAATATATGGGTAAAATATATTTATATTTTGAATAGGAAAACTTCCCTATATTATAACCGGAAGTATATGTGTAAATGAGGTCCATAGAAACACAAACAATATGGAAGTCGTCGAGCTGAACTGATTAACGAGAACAAATCAACACATAAAGGCTAGACAGCGAGAAAGTGTAAGAAATCACATCCTTTTAACTTTATTCAAATCTTTCCTTCTTTATATTGACACGCATTTGATGGAAGTTCATAAATCCAGAAGTGATTTTGCGATTTTCCTTTGGAAATCTATATTGTGTAAAATAAGTTTAAAACATTTTCAGGAAAACAAAGACCATGGGCAAAGGACAACAAGGTAGTTACTGGTGTTTGAATAGCATGTATAGCGATTGTTTTGGCCTCATTGTTAATTAAATTGAGTGAAAAAATACATAAATATTTAATAATAATGCAGGGCTCGAAATTTTTAGGGGGGGGGGGGGTCATATAGGCTTTTATTTTAGATTTTTACAGGTTAGCTGAGAGATTTCTACGTCTCATTGTGCTACATGTAGTAGAGATTGAACAAAACTGAAGCTCTAAAATAGTATCTTAAAAAATCATAAAATATGTTGACAGTGCCAATGTTAGGGCGAATGCAAACTTCCGTTTTCGATTTGGCTCTTCCAATCACATGTGACATTTTGTACGTCTATAGACTCTGACGTCACATGATATAGTATACAAGTTGCATTACTAAAACAAAGTCTGAATGTTTTTTAAAATTTTTATATTTAAGAACCCTTAATCTATTATATAACTGCCATCCATTAAATAAAGGTGAGTTTCATATTTTATGGAACTTCAAGGTGCAATGATAACACATATAGTTTGAATCAAGATGCAATTTGCTAAGCATTATGGGACGATGGAAATAAATTCCTCTGAATCATTTTGCAGAGTCTGCATAGCTCGCAATGACAAGTGGTGCTTTTAGCCACTCACTGTGACCTCCATTAATTCAAAATGATATATGGCTTATCTCCAATAGCAAATCCCAACAGCTAAAAAAAAGATTTCTTTGCTGTTAGTTAGTAGTGCCAATTTCAGATTCTACATATATTCTTTATATAAACCTTGAAGTAGTTGTTGTACATTTTGTTCATTAACTTAACTGCCTATATCTCATAGCTTTTCAAGCTTTTCACTCTGTAGAGCCAACATTACCGCTACATTGCCAAAAATTTCAACTCATTACCGCTACATTTTTTCAGATTTTCGACCGATCAGTACCGTTACATTTTTCCGGCCAAAAACAACTCAGTACCACTACATATTAATCAGCCCCAAACAACTCATTACTGCTACATATCGATTTAGCCAGGTATGGTTCGGTATAATGAGTTTCTAATCAACAGAATGTATTCACTATCTAATCAGAATGAGTATATTTATATAAATAACTCTGTAGTCGAAATTTAATTATCCAGCGTCATCTGAACATTATGAAGACAATTGAGAAGTTTGTTACAAATCGAGGGAATGCCACAATACTTATCGATGGTTATAAATTTAGAAAACAACAATATGTCAAGGAAATAGCTTTCAACAGGTCCAGTCCAAAGACTATTTCTACCTACATAGCTATTGAAAGCTACGTAGGTATTTAAACCTACCCAAAGTAGCTATTTTTACCTACTTTCTGCTTTACTTGCATTTGTGGCCAAATGCAAGAACAGCGCAACATGGTGAGCATTGAATTTTTTTATAAAGTCACACTGATGATGGATATGACAAAAAATTGGCCAAAAATGATTACTTCGTATATTATCAATTTTACATAGAAACTAATGTAAAATTGCCGTTTCAGGAAGTAATCGTTTTTGGTCAAAAATTTGTCTTACTCATCATCAGTGTGACTGTATCAAAAAATGTGGTATTGACCATGTTGCGCTGTTCAGTCTTTTGACCACAAAATGTAGATAATAAAAAGGTAGGTAAAAATAGCTACTTCAGGTAGGTTTAAATACCTACGTAGCTATTAATATCTACGTAGGTAGAAATAGTCTTTGGAATGGACCTGTTCTAGGCATTAGCGACAGTGTAAAGCATTTAACAAAACTTAGAATTTTATCTATGAACAGTGCTAATTGATTTTAATTTTTTTTGTGTTTTATTAAGTCCTACTTTCACCTCCCTGTAGTGAGCAAGGGAAATTGGTCTTATGCATTTATATATTGTACTGTACAGGCATATGTGGCTGCCTAACGAAAGAGGCAATGTAGCGGTAATGTATACTTTTTGATGTAGCGGTAATGTAAGGTTTTTTGTAGCCGTAATGACTATGTAGCGGTAATGAAAATTTCGAAAATGAAGCGGTAAAGATACGCACCTGTGGTTTAAACCTACAACGCTTAGATTTAAAATCCAATGCCCCAAAGAGTGAGGGTTAGTGATAGTAAAGGAGCATGGCCTCACTATTTACAACACATAACCATTTTTAACTCTCTTACACTTTCCCCCTTATTTCTTACCCCTGAGAAATCTCACACACAAGACTATAAACACCATTCACCAAGTGGGTTTTGTAATGGGGCACCAATATGACCAATTTGCTATGAATCAAGGAGGTTAACCCAATACCTAGTGTTAGTGGGAGTGTGGGTTATTTACAACACATTTATTATAGCACCCACTTTTAACTCTGTTAGTCAGGTGATATTTCTAAGATACAATCTAACAGAAGTAGGAATTGTATACATGTATATCTGTCATATCTGAAATTATTAAAAATTGGAGACACAAGACTAATTCCTACTTAATGATAGTCCAACTCTGAATGAATTTTGATATGCATAAAATAATCTCTGCCCCCACAGTACTATGCTGTCTTCAATTTACAAATTACTGGCCCAAATCCAAAACTTACTCAAAACCACTGAGCCATCATTTATTTAGAGCACATGTAATTAATTTTAAATGTTTTTCTTATATTTAAAAAAAGCATACCTAATAATATTTTAAGGTATAGGGCTATATTTTTTTATATGAAAAATATATAATGTCGAGTGCTGTGATTTTGAGTCCTGATATTATAATTAGTTTTTTTTTTTTAATTTGTCCTTTGATCAGATGCCAAACCAATTTTTTAATCTTCCTGCAATTATATTTAGACAGTGTTGTCAGACTATATACAGTAAAATCAAAATGCCAGACATTAAAAAAAAAACTTAATGTGTGTGTTGTACATGTCATGTATAGAGCTATAAAATAATCAGGCGTAAAATAACTGCTATTACTCATATATCATAGCATGAAAAGTTTAATATACACACCATGCATGGTGTATGATGTTATTCGTTTTGACCATGTGTACTACAGGTGTGTGCTGTGTCAATGTGTTGCATAACAGACTTCATAATTATATGATAAGTTAACTCTGTATTGGCAACTTATCAAGGGATTTTTTTTAATTTTCTACAAATGACAGATAGTCTAGGTCTTAATACAGAAGTCAGTGACTTCTTTACAACTTTTCTGAAATATAGTTCTAAAGAAACATTGGTTTTAATGTACATATGCTATGGCCTAGGAAGAAATGTTTGCATGTGCAAAAAAAAAAAACTGCCTGCCGCATTGAATTTTGATTTTTTTGGCCTGAGAAACTATTTAAAATTAATTTTTTTTTGGCCTAAACTAAAAAACGTACATTTGGGAGGATTTCTTACAGTTTAATACATTTTACGGGGTGTTGCCTTTAGTTGATTGCTTTGACAGTTTAATTATATTAGCCAGCAGATTTCTATTGAATTAAGAAAATTAATTTACTAGTATTATTATAACAAATCCCTTATAATTATAAATAATGACTTTCATATATATTTTTCTTTTTATATATCAGTAACTATGGATAGTGATAGATAAGATTTGCAGAGGGTTTATTTTTTCAAAAATATAAAATTATTTGTCAAAAGTTCATGTATATAGACATGTATATAAAGCTTTCCTATTTTGCCATATATCAGTTTGACAATGATTATAGTGCCCTCTAGTGTTGGCCACATTTCCTGAGGACGTTCTCTCTTACAGTGGCCGGTATGCTGAGCGGTACGGACGCTATCCACGTGGCCACCGTCCTGGAGGACTGTGTAGATCAGCTGACCATCCTCGGGAGGATCATGCCGGCGTCGTTTGAGACGCGAGTGGACGCAGTGGAGGTACATATAAACAGCTGACGTTGGTAGAGGGTCGGATGTTTTATCTGAATACATTCTTCATAACTTTATTTTATGCATTATTTTAAGAGATATGCTAAAATATATCAAATTAAATACATGATATTAAATCAGTTCAATGGGCGAAAGTTAGTTTCACAATATTGATTGACATTTCGTATTTGTAAGGATACATATATAGACTATTATAATGGTTATTTATAAGGATATATATAGACTATAGTGGTAAGAATATTGAAAAACATAAAAATTTTGTCTTTTTTTAAAATCAATCAGCTTTTTAGTGTATACATGATGACCACGTATGTCTCATGGTTCACGTTAATTTACCCTGTCCATTGTTTTCTTCAGATGGTCAGTAACGAGCTAAATCACCTGGTCTCCGGACAGAAGGAGTTAGAGCTACGATATCAGACCATCCTAGCCAAGAAGCTTGACCTGATGAACAGCACCAAAAACACAGAGCGTCTGACGCAGGTCGAGAAGGAGGTCATCGAGGCTGGGGCAGATCTAAAGAACAGCACGCACGTGTTCGGGCGGAGCCTCCGACAGAATCCTCTCACGGGGGACAACATGGTCAAAGTACAGGAGGACAGGTAACTATAAAATCGTCATCATTAGTTATAATAGATATGGATCTACCAACAAGCATGCTAGATATATACTGAAAGGAAAAAGAAACGCAGGCTAAACTTTTGAGGTGAATTTAATTTTTTTTTCTTAAAATACTTTTTATTTTTCCTATGTACCTTTTAAAATCATCTTTCAAAAAGATATAACCAAGTTCTCATATGATTTTGTTTAATTATTCATGAGTTATTGAAGCTCAAATGACGATACCCCCCAAAAGTGAAAATCGAAAACTTTCATTATCTTCAATGTCTATCTCGTGTATTTGTCAGAGTCTTGTTTCTCCTTTGCATGGAATTTCATCAGAGTGTTTATCTTTCAAACCCTGGCTATATTTAGCATGGGTAACCACGCAAAAAATAGTCAAACGGCGTGCGCATGCGCCAGTGAGAGGAATACAACCGTAAGTTGACTGGCTCAAAAAACCAAATTGCGGAATTTTTTCTTTCAAATTTCGTATGAATGTAATGATTATAATCGTCTACTGTATAAATGGCTGTTTTTGTGGTAGTAAGGTGGCAATTTAAGAGATGGCAGGACGACTAATACGCTCATAACATGGCTCTGTTTTGCGTTCTCGTCATCGTCACGGTTGATTGAAAACCATTCCAGACCCTCTCTGACAACGGGTAAAAAGTTTTATGGGGGAAAATTTACAAGAGACTGCTTAGTAAACCGTTGTTGCCTTTTTCATTAATTAAGCAATACGAAAACAAGACCCCATTGAACTTCTGTAAACTGTGCCAAGATTGCAATAAATTCATAATGTGTCTTACTATTGAAAAACAATGTGCATACCTCATATGCATAAAATAATGCAACAAGATTTGTCGACAAACTGGTCGTCATCAAATTGCATGTGTTTTTGGCTTTTTAACGTTTTCCCTACGTGACGTTATAAATTTTACGATTGAGTAATTCTGAATACTGATTTTGATGCACAGTAACTAAATTTCCCTTCTGATCAATTTTCGTAATTTTCGGTCATGTGGTGAAATTTTTATTGAAAATTATGCTACCCTGCATTTCTTTTTCTTTTCAGTATATTTAAACCCACGTGCCAGCTTTCATTTCTCTATCTGATTTTTAATATTGAAATTGAAAATAACAATCCTTAGGCCTGTTAATAGAGTGAACGTTCACGAGCGCTGGCCAAAATTCCTGAATGACATACCTCCAATAGAAATGTTCGTGAGCGCTCACTCTGTTGAACAGGCCTCAGCAAATATGAATTGTTTCCTCTTTTAAATGCATGAAAGTGGATAAAGATTCCATCTCTGACGTACTTATAAGGATGTATTTGTATCTTGACAGGATGTTTGTGGAGAGATGTATGGCTGACACCCTGTCAGAGTGTATACAGAACTGTAGCTTCCAAGCCCTGGCCGAGACCGTCCGCACCCAGAAGGAGAGGAAGGCCAGGCTACAGGACACCATTCTGAAGTAAGCAGGGCATGCTGGGACTGTTATAGCAGGGAATGCTGGGACTATTATAGTAGGGAATGCTGGGACTATTATAGTAGGGCATGCTGGGACTATCATAATAGGGCATTCTGGGAATTTAGTAGGGCATGCTGAGACTATTATAGCAGGGGATGCTGGGACTGTTATAGTAGGTCTTACTGGGACTATTATAGCAGGGCATGCTGGGACTGTTATAGCAGGTCTTACAGGGACTATTATAGCAGGGCATGCTGGGACTGTTAGAGTAGGACATGCTGGGACTATTATAGTAGGGCATGCTGGGACTACATTCTTATAGCAGTGAAAGGGTTCTGCTGTCTCTAACAGAAGAATTGTAGCTAAGAAAGTTAGAAAAATGTCTTCATTTCAAATTTTGAAGAATAAATATTAAATTCTTCTGTAGATACTCTAGGTTTAGGGTCCGATCATCAAGGTGGGGCAAAGGGTGTAACATTTTTAAAATGCAATATCTTAAAAAATAATTTTTTATCACCTTGAAAATTTAACCAGATAAGCTGATGATTACAATAAACTGAATATTCTATCATACATGTATTTGTTTGTGCTTTAAAATTTTCACAGAGAAACAAAATCAGCTTGTTTGTTACAGAAAAAGGGCTTACTGTCTGTATTGTGTGCCAACTGATACTCAGGTGACTCTTAATGCCTCCATGGGCCTCTGCTAACTAACTCAAGCTACAACTGAATCTAACGTGAATTTTTCATTTGACAGGGAAGAGAATGGAAGGAGACATGTGAGAATGCTGAACAAGAAGTTGGTGGACATCCAGAAGGAGAAGGAGATTGAGTTACAACAGAGGAACAATATGATCGCCCACTTCAAGGACCAGCTGCAGGAAATGAAGGCCAAGACCGACATGGAGGGGAAGTATCTAAAGAAGAGCGCCGAAGTCACGGTGGCCCAGACCCAGAAAAAGTGTACACTGTCCGAGAAAGCCCTCCAGGACGAGATAGAGGTCAGTGGGGGGTCACGAAAGGTCATAGGTCAAAGGGGGGTATTAAAGATCATAGGTCAGTGGGGACATTTGTAAATCTGGGGTGCAAGATCTGCACTTCCTGCTGTGTGTCTTACTTCTACTGAAAAGAGGTTTTTAGTAATTTATGCTAGTGTGTATGTGTTTTATGGAAAATTAAATTAATTCAAGGAAGTCAACAGGGATTTAGTGTACAAAGTTACAAATTAAGGTTTTTTTTTCACACATAACATACTGTATGTGTACTTTTATAAAGTGGGATTCATATTTTACTTAAATTGCATGTGCCATTCTTTAATATTTTAAGTATTTTTATATAGTAACAAATTTGACTAGGAGTTGCTGCCCTTGGTCACATTTTCTCAGTAAACTGTTCCAATAAGCCATTGTAACAGTGTCTGATGGAGTTTCCTCCTTCTCATTCCAGAGTCTGAAACACAAGATAGAGGAGGAGCAGAGATGTAATCAGGAAATAGAGAACTTTCTACGGGCACATCAAGAGGTAGGGAACCAGGCTAATACACACACTAAATATATACAAAAATAGAGAACTCAGGGCACATCAAGAGATATGGAACCAGGCTAATACACATATATAGATAAATACAGATATAGAGAACTTTCTCCGGGCACATCAAGAGGTAGGGACCACGGTAACATACACATATATAAATACATATATACAGAAATAGAGAACTTTCTTTAGTCAAATCAAGGGGTATGGGACCATGCAGGATAACATACATGTTGTCAGAGGAATGAAACAGTTATGTATACAATTCAGAAACATCTCTCATAAAGCTGCACAATATTGTTGCAATAAAGGGCTGTTTGAATACAAGATTACACTAGAAAAATTTTTTAACTTTAAACTCTTTTATAATTGCGAGCTTTAGCATTAGGAGCACCAATAGTCCAGTCAAATAATAAATTTAGAACATAGGAATTCTAATACAAGAGATCTGTCAGCTTATAAGGCCATTTATTAACTGCTGTGGATGCAAAAACTTGTTGACCATGAGGAATCATATTCCAGTGACTTCAATCCTAACACCATATCTTTGGCACACAAAACCCAAACAAAAACTAAAAAGAAACCATGATAATAAAATACTTATGTATACATAAACATTATCAGGAAGTGCCTATATTGGAGATTTATTTGACATACTGTATTTTGTGACAGGAGCTGGAGAAGAAAGTAGATATCTGGATGGAGAAATACGAGAAAGACGTGGAGGCCAAGCAACACGAGCTGGACGTACTCAAGGCATCAAAGGCCAAGGACCTGGATAAATTACAGGAACTCACCAAACTGGTACGTACTGTTTAAATCAATAACCTGTAATTCTGACTAATCTTGTACGTACATTGTCTAAATCAATAACCAGTAATACAGATCCCCAATTACTGGCACTTAATGGTTCAGTGCATCTGTGTTAGATTGACCTCTCATTTTATAAATCAGATTCTCTCATTTACTGTTCTTCCCATGCTGTTAAATTAATATTATATTCTTACTTACTGCCAAGTTGTGTTTCAATGCTTTTTGTGTGAGTAATTTACCCTTGCTTTAAATGCAATCCTCTCAATTATTGCAACCTTGTGGTTCAATGCCCCTGGATAAGAGTTACCTGCAATTGCTGTAAATCGAATCTCTCAGCTACACTGCAACCTTAAGGTTCAAAGTTTTTGTTTAAGAGTGACTTCCCCTGGCTGTAAACTATTATCCTTTCAGTTACTGCCATCTTGTGTTTCAGTGGAATAGATCTTGATAGAAATTAAATTCTTGTATGTAAGTTTTTTTAAGGAGATGGCTTTTTGTGTTTTAAAAGAAATATTCTCTCATTTCAGTACAAGGAATATGAACAAGTGGTTGTGGAAGACAGAATAGAGAAAGAAAAGGCCAGAAGGAAGGCCGACCAAGAAGCCATTGAGCTTAGAGCAGCCACAAGGGTAAGTAATGGGCTTATATCAAAGTTTGTTATATAGGTCATTCTTCACACAGTTCAAGCTTTTACAACCTGTTGACATTTATCATCACTTTTAAAGTTTAAATACAGATTCTGACTGCAATAAAACTTTTATTATAATGTTTATATTTTGTGTTTAGATCCAGTCCTGGTGGCGCGGTGTAATGGTCAGGAAGGGATTCGGTCCTTACAGCAAAAAGAAAAAGGGAAAGAAGGGCAAAAAGGGAAAGAAAGGCAAAAAGAAGAAGTAAAATGGCTGCTTATTTTTGTGTTGGACAATTTTGTTTTTGTTATTTTTATCTCAATTCAACATCTATTTACTCGGGACACTATCAAACAACAGTTTATATGTCTAGTTTACCGTCACGCCAGAACAAAGACAATTTTTTTTTGCTAAATATTATTTCTTATCAGAAGTCTAATGTATTTATATGAGCAATACCATGTGATACTGGAATGGTAACTTCTTTAATATATTTTATGTGCTGGTTTTTATTGAAGGGAATGATACATGAAATATATGTTCTTTGTTGAGATATAAATATGTTTTATACCTTGATTTCTTCCATTTTTATGGCTTACGAAGCCATATAGCTCCCGGTGTATCTTTACGGCAAAGAGTTCCGTGTGTATTCTAGTAAACATGAGCAAGATAAAATAGTCCTTGTCTTTTCTTTAATTCTATTCTACCTTTGTTGTGAAATTTACTCACCAAGTTCTTAATCAAAAACCTTGTTATTTTCATTTAATTTTCGCTACTGAAGACAAGATAAACCAAATAAAAAAACTAAATTAAATAAACTCTTGTGAGGACACGGCAGAATATCTTCTGACCGTATGTGTCAACAGCGCCACCGTGTAGATAAGTCGATCTAAATTAAAGAAAGAGAACTGTGTCGGGAGTACGTTGTCGCGCCAGATAGTTCGTAGGAATACAGATTAAATGTATTTTACCTTACAAACTGTTTAAGCAGCTGCTATAAGCAGTGATTTCCTAAGGCCGTTTTTGCTTGGCGGTAACGCGATCACGATCTCCCGCCAACTCAATGTTGTGAACTCAATGCGTAACGCGGTATGATGCAATAGCCTTGATGCTCCGACATTTAAAAAAAGATTCATTATTTAAACACATAATATTTAAGACATTATTTTTTTGCATTAATGTACTGAAAATGAAACGTGTGATAAAATTATCAATGTTTATGAATTTACTTTATGAACTCTGGAAAGCACTTAGTTCAAACGCATATGCTTCTAATACACAGTGACCTATATATTCAGAAGCGCTCCAAGTGACAATATCTACATGCGGTAAGCATTACATTGGTGCTACATAATGAGAACAAAAAGTTTCAAGATGACTACAAGTAGATACATAAAAAAAAAATAAGGAGGATCATTAGGGGCCTATTTAATTGTAGATAGCAAAAATAGCACAATACATAAAACAGTAAAAAGACAGTGGCTTTATAGAAAATTTTAATAGAACAATTTTTCGTGATTAGATCTCTTTACATAAAAAAAACTCTATTGTTGAATAATTTTAAGTACGTCTTTAAATATGAATTTAGATAAAATAAACTCAACTGCCAAGAAACGCCTCAGGCCGTCAATTCAGCGACCCCCCCCCCTTTTTGCATTAAGAAATTTCTGGGAAAACAATTTTGTAGTATATTACATTTCCTTACATTTTACATCCATGTCAAGCACGTAAGCCATTATGGCTCTTCAGGCCTTTGATTTTTTAAACTGTGAATCAATGTTTGCAATGAAGCAAACTAGGGTGAACTAAGCAAGCAATGACAGTGAAAGCCTGCCTAAATACCATATTCAGTGGGACACAATATTTTGTCAGAGTAGACAAGGTGCCAGATTTTACAGTGAAAAGAACATGGAAAGTAGTAAAATAGAAAATTAAAGTAAAGGTTGGATTTCACAGTGAAATACTGTCAGATAATTGTGTAGATGTGGGGATCTAGGGGAATTCACAATGGTCAGGCTTCAGAATGCAGAACAAATGTCTAGAATCATACACTAGCTGATCCACAGTGCTCATCTGAATCTGGTCTTGCTGCTCTTCAGATTTCTTTCTATGTTGGATTTAACAATTTTGGCCTTGTACTGTAGCCAAACCCTAGTCACAGCTGATGTTGAATCCACACACAAGGGAATGCTGGGATATCAGTATAAATGATAGTGGTAAATCTTAATAACCTGAGATCATGTCTTTAAAATTCTTTCTAGTTGTAGTACTTTTTTAAAATCATGGGGGAGATTATGAGTCAACTTTTTTCGTTAATTAATTGTATTTGTCTGATGAAAATCTCATTCGCTCTTTGTCACTGTACAGTAACTTGCTTCATTCAGTATGGGGGGGGGGGAGTGATCCAAGCAAAATGTTTTACTACTGACTTACTCCAGCATGTTAGAGGTTCACAGCGAGATACTTTTGACTTGGCGCCCTGTAACATAAGGAGCGTAGGGACGTTAACCGAGGCTCTTACTTGTAGGAGTAACTACTGACTATGGACATTGAAGGTTTCGGACCAGAGGCATTGTTTCCTTTATGCAGCAATGCAAATAATGAATGATTTTTTTCAACCCCAAAAAAAATCATTAAGGACTAAAGGAGGGAAAAAGTTCAATAATGGATCAAAATTAAACAGACAATAAAATTAAAAAGAATTCTGAATCTTTGAAGTGTAAATCATGCTATTTTCAGCTTTAAAAGTGTAGGATCTTTGATGCTGGGTACTTCATCTCTCATGTAATGGTTTTAGAATTTCAAGGACAAATTTCATGATATTGTCATTTCAAAGCAATATTTAACAAATATGAAATATGCTTTTTACTAATTAACCTAATTTAATTTACAAAAGCAGATTAAGTTGCGTTTTACAAGTAAATGAACTGTGATTTCTTTTTTTAAAACGATAATTACATGTAAAATGTTTTCGCATTTTAAACTAGAGGTATACTGTGAGCACTGAGCTCCCTAATTCATACCCACGTCTCTCATACCATTGCAAAGTGCATGATTTGCTCTGGGAGACCCGATATAAGTGTCAAATCAAAACATAAAATAGGAGGTGCAAAATGGCAGTAAAGAATATCATTAAATTTCATTCAGTGATATGGGAGAGATCCTTACCCTTCAATACATTTAAGAAAGAATTGCAGTGTCAATGTTTTGCGCCGGAAAACCCTAAATGTTTGTAGGATCAAAGTAAAGTAGAATATACACAATGACACTATGAAGCATAGATTCTTTAAAAAGTTTCATTTAATTTCATTCAGTGGTGTACGTGGATAAGAGATTGGTACCCTAAAACGTAACAGACAGGCGGACATCCCAATCACTATATATATCCTTCCACTTTTCAAGCGAGGGGGGGATATAACAAATCCGCCAAAATACTACCAGTAGATAAGATATATATGCCAACAAGATCAACAGGTTGTTGAAATCCCCGTAACATCAATTTATTAGTAAGTAGCATGCCTTACTTTAAAAATTAATCGTCCCTAGAGCGAGCTCTTGAATAACTATAAAGTTCTCAACTATAAAGTTATCTTTGTGTGTGTCGGGGGAAGAGGTGGTCTCCAGGAACCGTTGTATTCTTGTACGATAGAACCTTACGTTCTGTGACTTTCCTGTGACCTAACATACCTTGTAAAAGGTGAAGATATATAACGAACGGTGACCATTCTCATAAATCTAGTGAGTACGAACGGTGACCATTCTCATAAATCTAGTGAGTACGGATCGTGAGTAGGACAGGACCAATGGGAAACCGTGTCAAGAGGTGGGGTCAGGTGCAATTTATATGATGTGGGTCAGATAGTTGACATATTTCCCTTTTCAAACTGAAGGCGACTGAATTGAGTTTTTTCCCATTATTATTCTCTGCTCTGGTATATAATCCGTCTTGTTTCCCAAGGTGTTTGTCTCAGTATTTGTACAAGTGTTCTTTGATTCTTAGGTGTCTGCCTGAAAATCTGCACGTTTTTCATTCTCAGTATTGTTGCCCACAATTAATGTCTTCAATATATTTTTTATTTTTTCGAGAGAAAAAATCCAAATATGACAAGCAGTTGATTTATTCGTTGACTTTTCCCGATGGCTGTTCCTGTACCAGCACGTGGTTGTCGTTTTTAAAAATGGTGGTCCAGCCAGAAAAAATCCATTTTTTCTTGAAAATAAACATTTTCAATGATAAAAGATTATACGATATTTGAAAGAAGTGATTGCCATTAAACTACAATCTACTACAAACTACTAAGGCAGGCCCTTAGCAACGGGTTTCAAAAGGAGAAGCAACTTCTAAATTAAAAAAAAAGGCAAAATTACTAAAGCCCAATGAGCTCATTTTCGTAGGTAAGAAAAATATTTTTTCGCGTTATAACGCGAAACTTTAGCGAATTAACGCGTAACTTTCGCGATATAACGCGAAACTCTCGCGAATAAACGCGTAACTTTCGCGTTATTTCGCGAAAAAATATGATGCGAGAATTGGATAGATTAGTCATCAGAATATTTTATTTTATTTTAAAACCTTACTATTGAATTAATAAAATGAATTTTCCTTTCTTGTACATGTTTTTCAATTGTTAAATTCTTTAGACTGATTATTTCTTAAGGAAAATCTCCACTTGACATTTTTCCTAGCTGTTTTTTAATCAGTAACATTTACTACAACTGTACCACTAGTAAATTAAGCAATCAATCATTTTGGACAAAAATTATACACTGTAGAAACATAACTTAAAAGTGAATGAACAATGTATAATTTCATTGTCTCCAATATTTTTATATTGGGTTATAGAGAAGTAAGTGGACTAGCCATAAATAAAAACTATGAAGGTATACAGCAGAGTTTGTACACTTTGAATTGTCAATGTTTTCGTAAGCAATGGAATGACAACGTGGTGCAACCTCAAAATAGGATATCGAATTTCCACAGCGAATCCAACGGAGGCAAATGAAAATCTGCTATCCAATTTTCACAAATGCGGTGGGACGCAATTGACAAATTTACCTCATTTTGTCAATTTTCTGAGATCTTGATCTCTATAAAATAAAATTATTTCAAATTCTCTAGATAGTGCATAAAAAAGACGCCCGAAAAGGGTAATTTTCCCCGAAATTAATAATCTTGACGTTTAACTTTTGGAAAACTCGCATAAACTTTGAATTGTTTGAACAGCGTTGAGAAAGACAAATTGTGACGGTAAAGATGGATTCAATGGCATGAAAGCTTAAAATTTAACTTTTGATAGTCCAAAATCAAAATAGCCTTTTGCTTATCATTGTAATGAATAAAATTGATGACAAAATCAAAAAAGCAAATGTCTGGTTAAACAGCAAAAGTTTCGCGTTATAACGCGAAAGTTACGCGTTATATCGCGAAAGTTTCGCGTTTTATCCTGCAACTACCCCTTGCATTGACCTAATAAAGGTAACCTAATAAACCAAAGCTTTGTCCGGTCACTGCCCTAATAAATCCTCGTGCATGTATTCCGACGTTCTAAAAGCATTGTGACGTCATGTATATTGCAATGTTTACGCAATGGCGTCATTGTTTCAACTGCAGAGATGTGCCTAAATATGTCGCCCTCTATCACGTTTTCTTACCCTCGCCCAAATATCGCTTATATTTCAAGACAGTAACCATGTATTTTATATATAACGCGAACGTTTCGCGTTTATTCGCTTTATATCGCAAAAGTTTCGAGTTTTAACGCGAAAGTTACGCGTTTATTCGCAAAAGTTTCGCGTTATTCGCGAAGGTAACGCGAAAGTTACGCGTTTAATTATTCGCGAAAGTTAATAATTTCGTGTTATATCGCGAAAGTTTCGCGTTATAACGCGAAAGTAACGCGTTTATTCGCGAAAGTTCCGCGTTACATCGCGAAAGTTTCGCGTTATAACGCGAAAATTTTATTTTTCTTACCTACGAAAATGAGCTCCTTGGGCTTTCGTCAAAATAGCCACCACCCCCCCCCCCCCCCCCCCCAAGAAAAAAACAAAATAAAAAACAAACAAACAAACAACTTAATAGCTGTCCATGCATTTGTAAGTGATCGACCTTACAGCGACAAAAATATCGGGGGTCTGTAGAAAAAATTACTGTATAGAAATACTATTCTCAGATAAATGGTGCCCCCCCAACTTGCCTTCGAATTATACAGGTCTAATAGCTGCAAAACGATAGCGTTATAAATATTGCGGTTTTATATTTTCAATTTTTAGTCTTTGACCAAAACTTAATTATATATAAAACCATAACGCTAGAATGTTCTGCAGCTAAACTACGCGGCTGCTACAGTCACAAAGAGAATAACTGAATGACTGCCAACATGTTTGGTGAATCAATAAAGAAATTGAAATTGAATCAGATGTAACCCAGCTGCCCACCAGTATATCATTTCAAAACCTGGATTGAAATTGTTGTGTAATACATGATGCAACCATAGCTAGTATTGTGGATTCATTGTCTTTGTTAAATGATACTTGTATAATGAATTTAAGAGGAAAATGTGACACATTTCTTCTTTCAGCTATTTTAAGTAGGTTTTATAGAGAAAGCCTACAAGTCACTCGTAATACCTACCCTAGAATATGCTTGTACTACCTGTGACCCATTTGAAAGAGGATGTAATATATAAGAATTAGCATGTGTTCCAACGCAGGGCAGTCATGCAGGTACGTTACCAACCGATATCACACACCTCGTCGGTCACAGATATATGCTGGACACCCTGCATTTGGAAACACTAGAGGAGCGTAGAGAGAGGGCCAGAATGATTTTAAGATCCAAAATGGACTCATCAAGCTAGACTCAGTCGTAATCATGGTAACATGGGATCGAGGGCATTCCTTGCAGATATCATCTACCACCAACCAAGTTCGTAAGAAATCCTTCTACCCTGGGACCATGAGAGCCATAGTGTCTTCAGGACCCGCTTACTTGATTGAATTAACCAAAGAAGAAAATCATACATTTATTGTAATTAACAGTATCATAAATATTATGTAAAAATTGAGTCAAATGCATAAATTGTTATGGTGAAAGTTCCTAAATACTTGTTATTTATAAGATACCTTTGAATTGTGAATATTAGGGAAACTATTTTACATAAATCTGAAATGCCTGAATGAAGCTCCCTGAACAAGGGTTATTGCCCTTGTCAATATTTTTTAAAAAGATTGAATAATTGATTAAAAAGGAAATATGCATTTTTAGAATTCTTTTACTTAACAATATTTTTTTTTATCATTTCACCTATGGAAAATCATCCTTTCAAAATATATTGTTTTATTGGGTATGAATTCAATTTAAAAACAGTTTAAAATTTGCAAAAACTAGTGACATGAGAGGATGGTGGAATTACCTCGGTATGCGCACCGAAGTGGCAGTATCATATCAGTGGTTGGTGGTGGCCGCAGACTGGTATATAGAAGTAGAACTAAATTTATCGATAAAAGGTGCCCAGCAATGCATGTTGCAATAGCAGCAGAGATATATCGATCTCCCGATATATATGTCGATCAGTAAAATGCATGATGTGAGCACATTTAAGAGAGTGTTTGATTGCATGTTAACATGCATGAAAAGCCACGTGACAGAAAATAAGTGACATTAACAATTTTATATTGTAAGCCTTTATGTACACCATATAAATTATAAATAAAGAGGCCTATTGACCAATTCATTTTTTTTCTCGTTTTTTCCCCTTTGTATTCTCCGTCTGCCACTATACCACCCGGCCTTGAAAAATAAAGCAACACGTGTGGTGTGTGTGTGTTTAATAAATTAACACCAATTCATAGGATTATATTTTTTTTTCAGTTGTTGTACACTTGACTTTTCAAAGTTTCTTGTATTTTCCTAGATACACTGAGTTCAAACTGAGGATGAATTAAAAATCGATATTTTTATGTAACTGCGGATCCAGTACAGTCAATTTTGTACTTGTGTCCAATGATGCCGATATTATTTGTATTGCCTGTATGGACATTGAGTGAAAGGCACAGAGACCGATGACCTACAAGTGTTTTTATGCTCTTTCGCACTTATAACCTGATAAACTCGTAGATCCGCGCCTTTGTGACCTTCACCTGGCACGCGTTCAGTCTCACTCAGAACATATGTTTGGCTGGCACGTGTCTGACATTGCCTTCAAACAAAAACTCTACAGAGCCCTCAGAAGTTAAAAAAAAATGTGCAGAATGGTTTTAACGATGTTAAAAATATAATTAATCATAACCAAACCTTATTTTGAATATAACATAGCTTATATGCAGTTTAAAGGGCATGAAACGTGAATGAACAATACATGTTCGCAGTCTACGTGTTTACCCCACGTGACACGTGACTAAAAATGGTTGGTTCATTAGGACTGTATTGATTTATTATAACCTGCGCTTTCGAAGTATTCAGAAAGGAATAAAGAAACCAAACAAGGTAATTATAATTATTTATTTTACTATTAAAGAAAAAGAGATGTAGAATTTAGAAACGGAACTGTTGTACGTCTTGCAATATAACCAGGCCCACGGAATTAACGTATTTAGTATATATGTAGGTCGATCCCTGATATAACTCATTAACTGAATGTAAGGAGGATATGGAAATAACGAACAGTATTCAATCTCAACGTCCATTAAACAAATATACAAAATAAGAGCAGAGCAAACACGGACCTCCGAAACATCAGAGGTGGGATCAGGTGCCATGGAGGAGTGAGCATCCCCTGCCGACCGGTCACACCCGCCGTGTGCTCGTTGTCATAATCAGGAAATAACGGAAAAAATCCGTGGTCAATTCAGTGTATAAATAATGGACTAACAATTGGTATGAAAAACGTCAGTCAGCATTTCATTCAATGATAAATTGTATTTGCTGACAAGGTCATTGTATCGACCATAGAATTTACGAAATGATGACTTTAAACGAGACTGTTGATATTCTTGTTTCATCAACTTGCTTGTCAATAATTTACCTCGTTTAAGAAATTGTTCATACGTAGAGCATGCTCTAGCGTATCGAATCAACTGAGATATAAATACTCCGTATGCAGGTGATGACGGTATATTGCTGCATAAGTACGGGAAGTTGACGATAGAAAAGTTAAAGTCATCACGTTTATCATATAGCTTGGTTGTTAGATTACCATTTGTGTCTTTTTCAAGTAAAATATCCAAGTATGAAGCAGAAGTGTAAATAACGAATACACACAATATCATAAAACTGTTGATACATTGTTCCACTTTTTCTCGTATACTATAATACAGTGTGTATAAATCTAATGATAAAACTTGAATTAGGAAATTTGACAAATGAAAAACATTTTATTTTTTGTTGAAAGGATAATGAAGTTTTTTTTAGATCCATAAATTAATTCCCATACACTGTCAGAGTTGACAGAATGTTAAAGAATTAAGGCAGAGATTAGAAGGTATTAAATAATCAGCACTGGTCATTCAAAGCTTTTGGGACACACCTGCTGTCAACAGGTGCCCCATTCCCTTGGTCAAGTTCTGATAGAACTCGGAAGTAATTTATACCCCCTATGGCCTGAAGGGAGGGACAGAACTTGTCTTTAACAGTGGACTGGAGGTCATCCAAGTCCACTATTTAATTGAAAAATTCCACAAAATGCAGTGTTTATGTACTGGACTAGCGGAACGTCTGCCGTCGATTCACTTAAAGGATTTAAAATTATCGATTAAAGAAATTCAGTCCCCTATTGGATATCATATCTAAAAGATTGCCCATTGGAAGAGTCAGCATTTACAAATAGCATTAACATTATGCAAATATCATTCTTCTTTATAACTAAAGTTTAAACAGTTTTGTTTTATGCCCCTGCCATGAATTGGCCGACCGGCAAATTATAGAGTTACCCTGTACGTCCCATCATTCTGTCATTCTGTCCTTCCATCATCATTCACTCTCCATTATTTCTGCAACTTTATTTCAAACTCAAATTTGACATAGATTACAAGTGAGATGCAGGTCAACTTGATTTCTTGAACTGAAAAAAGGTTCCACTCTTTAACTTTTGCAGGGATGTATGTATAAGGTTGAAATTGCATATACAGGTATTTTACAGGTCAAGTTCGAATTTGGTCAATGGTCTGATGATTTTTGAGAAATTTTCAAAAATTGCAAATCAAAATACAGTAAAAATTGTCTGATCTGGCACTTATGTAATCTGTCATACTGTAAATTCTAACGGTAAAATCCTTTCTCATTTTACAATAATTTCATGTTATTTATGCATTAAAAATCTTTTCAAGAACAGCTGAAAGCCATGATTGGTCATAGTAATATAGAAGCGTCCTCAAATAATGTAGATTCAAGTTTGTTCAAATCATCCCCAAGGTCAAATTATTGAAATTTCCTTTTTGAGCAACTGATTTTATAAACACATACAGCAGAGAAGAAAGTGATGGAGCCTGGGCTTATTGACCTCCAGTGTGTTGACCTGAGCAGGAAATAACTCGAATGCTTAAATTTATATCTATTGAAAGCTATATAAATATATCTAGTTGGATGATAGAATGATGAAATATGTCGAGGATTTTTTTTAAAAATACGAATAACTGATCAAAGGCATCGTTAGCAAATTGAAAATGTGTGTGTGTGGGGGGGGGTAATTGTGTGTGTGTGTGTGGGGGGGTAATTGTGTGTGTGTGGGGGGGGTAATTGTGTGTGTGTGTGTGGGGGTAATTGTGTGTGTGTGTGGGGGGGGTAATTGTGTGTGTGTGGGGGGGGGGGTGTGTGTGTGTGTGTGGGGGGGGACTAAACCAACAAAGCCCTAGCCCTTCCGGTTCCGACGCCTATGCCGATTCCAACCTTTGGAATATCTTTTGGTTATCCAATTGGCAGTTTGATTGCCATCCCTAAAAATTTAAACACAAAGAAATCAGAAATATTGTTGGTAGATCGAGCTAACATAGATTCGAGCCTTCTTTTATACTTAGAAAGGACAGTTATTAATTGTTATCACCTAGAATCAATGTACGGCCAATCAGCAGTTAGTGGGTGAATCCAAGCTTAACTTATAAATTTTTTCCTGAGTCAGCGAGGTTCTTAATCCCCGCAATAAGACCTGTCTTAACAACACGAGACATTGCCTCCAGGAAATTCTAATCTCAGAGAAACAACATCTCTCTAGCTTACCGGGGTACTAGTGATCCACTTCTTCAAGGATTCCATCTTTCTTAAAAGATAGAATAGGCAGACTTTGGTCACCTGATGAGATATCTCTACAGTGATCAGAAACAACATTCTATTCTCTCAGTCTAGTTTTCAGTGTAAAATGCAATTAAAAAGATTTAAAAGGAAAAAACCCAATCATGATCATGATATTTAATTTTCTTGCATTGTGAGATTAAGTTTCTTCAATTCTCAATGTACTGCATAATATAACCAAATATAGCAATTTCTCCTTAAGAGTTGGTATACTGATTTTAGCAAGATTTAATTTTAGTGATTTTAAAATGATTACTAATTAAAAGAACCTAGCTATTACAAATATAACCCAATTTATTTTTAGCAATATAAGCCATCTTAGCACCCTCTCTAATAGTGCCAAAATAAAATCCTCACTAAAATTTCTGCTTTTACAGTATTATTTGATCATTAAAACCTCTCCCCTTTATATATAACATAGATAAGTCTGTGATGTTTAGACCGACTCTAACTTAAGCTGAAAGAGTAATTATCTGTCACTGAAATTAGTTTTTGATTTTCAATATCTCTGTACGTGTGTTTTTGAATTTATTTTAATTATTTCAGGGTCATTTTGAGCTTACTTTGATGAGAAGATGTAACGTAGACTTGAGCGGACAGTAAAGGATTGATTCAAACAAATCAGTATAAAGGGTAAGTTCCGAGCTTTTACTTTGAAGTTGTATTTATTTTGATTAAAGCCAGTTCTTAGAGAGATGGAGATGATGAAGAACAGAATGATGTGACATTAGGTTATTGATTTTTGAGATGTTTTCAATTCTAGTTGTTCAGCATCACTATAAAATACGACAAAGCCTGGAATGATAGTAAAATGTATAATGTTCTTATCCTCCTAGGAGGGCTGACTGAAATAAAAAAAAAAGATGATCTTTGTAAGCTGTTGGATTACAAGAGGTTTTTCTGTATTCTTGGTATTGCTGTCAGACTTAGACATTTAAAGGTGTAAGAAAAGGAAACAAAAGAATGCATTGGCTGTGTGCTATAGCACATCATTAAAGATATATATAAGTTAAGAGTTTTCAGTATTATAGCCCCTGTTTTTGCCTGCAAAGAAAAAATCATTCACTTCAAGAGTAGAGTACCATTATGCATATTTTAGGTCACAGCATCTTAGGAGACCCATGAGTGATCTCCCCTTGACTCATGATGAGTAAAAGAGACCTTTGGGTATCCGACAATGAAGTCAAACGTTAAGGAATTATAATTTTGGTTTATAAGTTTGCAACTGTTAATTTGATTTGTGAATTCCCTTTATGACATTTCCTTCTCGATAAACAAAAACTGCTGCCACTGCAGCCACTGACCAGGAAGTTACTGAATTTAAATATTGTCAATACGTGACAAAGACTAAAATCATCGCGAGGTAACCGAGATATCCTACGATTAACTCTTTAATTAGAAACTACAAAGTTTGTAGCAGATAATGATAAAAATGAGAAATGTTCCTGGTTTTGTTTTTTTCCTGAGAACTCAAATATTTTAAAAATCATAATGATCATTACACTTGGACTTTTGGATGAGTTTTGGAGTGCTCATTTATGGTCCTAATAAAATATGTCCATCACTGATTCTGTTGAGATTTGACCATGCAGGCAAATATAATTGATGTCTAATGATCCCGGTATTAATCCTGTCTTAACCAATGTGCTGATCTATCACTTAACTTGACCAATCAGTGCTTGTACAGAGTCTATAAAAGGAGTGGCATTTATTGTGTTACCAAGCAGTACACTTCTGCATAAGTGGAAAAGAAATTAACTTAGCTTGAACATCAGAGAATGCAAGGAGAAATCCATGTTATGATTTTTTTTCAATATATTATAGATTAAAAAAAATCAAATGACACGAACAGTTTAAAAATTTTCAAAAGCTGATTACCAGGTTAATATTTTAATGATAAAATTTCAATTTAAAAATTGAGAAGAAAGCTTCAATAATTGCCACTTTTACAAATGAATTTTTTGACCTTTTTCAGACTTAGGCAGCCATCATGGAGTGGCACATAATGAACGCGGGGGGAGTAACCAGTCTGGGGAGTAACCTGGGCTGTGTGGAGGACTCCCAGTACATACCTTCAGAGGAATGTAAAGGTAAGCTACCTGTATAGGTGAGGATTTACCTTTAAAGGTGAGGTTCTTCCTGTAAAGATAAGTTTTTACCTGTAAAGGTGAAGTTTTACCTGTAAAGGTGAGATTCTACCTGTAAAGATAAGGTTTTACCTGTAAAGATAAGGTTTTACCTGTAAAGGGGAGATTTTACCTGTAAAGGTGAGATTCTACCTGTAAAGGTGATGTTCTACCTGTAAAGATAAGGTTTTACCTGTAAAGGTGAAGTTTTACCTGTAAAGATGAAGTTTTACCTGTAAAGCTGAGGATTTACCTGTAAAGGTGAGGTTCTCCCTGTAAAGGTGTTGTTCTACCAGCAAAGGGGAGATTTTACCTGTAAAGATGAGATTCAACCTGTGAATGTCTTGTTATACCAGTAAAGGGGAGATTTTACTTGTAAAGGTGAGGTTCTCCCTGTAAAAGTGAATGAAGGGAATTAGTCAAGAGAATGTAAGGGTTATAATAGCCTCTAGAGAATGTTAAAGGTGCTTGAACACAGATTTGAAGTTAAGATTTTCTCAAATTTCCTGTATAATATCATGACTTATTGAGACAGGATTGATAAAACTATATTTACATTTTTAAATTTCTTTGTCCAGAGTAAAACCTTTAAATTTAAAAAAAAAAACTAATTTCTTCTTTAAGCCATTAGTTCATTGATAGACATGCATGATTGAAAAAATCACATGCAGAGCAGGGGAGAGGGGTGGCCCACTGGGGGTTTGGGAGGGGGATGGAGGCATGGAACATGAATTTCATAAATGTGCATGGCATTATTGGTTCATTGATTATAGGCATGCATGATTAAGAAAGAAATTACATGCAGAGCAGGGGAGAGAATTGGTCAAGGCTTGAGGCACATGATTATTTAAGAAACGTGAGCATGTAAATATAAAGAATAAGTATATGTTTAGAGCAATTGGTTCATTGAGAGACAGGCATGGTTGAAAATTCACATGCAGGACAGGGGAGGGAATTGGTCGAGGCTTGAGACACGTGATTATTAGAAACGTGTGCATGTGAATATAAGGAATAACTGTATGGTTAGAGCAATTGGTTCATTGATAGACATGCATGGTTGAAATAAATCGCGTGCAGGGCAGGGGAGAGAGAGAGAAGTGATCGAGGATTTGATGAGCATGTGAATAGTAGAAACGTGTAGGTATAATTTAAAGGATTACCTGTCTGGTTAAGGTTATTGGTTCATTGATCTGACATGCATGGTTGAAATAAATCGCGTGCAGGTCAGTGGAGGCAGGAAGTGGTCAAGGCTCGGAGCACGTGAATTTTAGAAACGTGTGCTTGTAAATATAAAAAATAACTGTATAGAAATATTAGGTCTCATCATGCTGATTGAACGCAATTTAACTTATGTGATAATTCCATGCAATTAAACAATATTTATTGTCATAAAAAAGTTTAAGAAGGTTTTTATCCTTTTTAATGTGATCTTATACATGCATATTGGTTATAATTTTTTCATATTTAGTTTAAACCTGCAATGCTTTCATTAAACATAAATGTATTATGCATTCACTAGAGCGGTGTTAATTTATTCAGATCTATAGAGTAGTACTTGTCAAGGAAGAGAGATCTGCTATTTATGAATCACGCGCCATTAGAGTGGCCTTTATAACAGACTAATTCGTTAAAATGATGGACATTCATGCCTCAATTAGACTGAAGTTGCTCTTATTTTAACAGAACAGTATACCTATACTAGCAACAGTTTATCGCACGTGAGGAGTCATTAGGAAATATTTCTTGGAAATGTCATAATCAAAATAATGGGAATGAATGCTGAATTTATATATGATTTTTAAATAAATTCAGACATCAGGCACACTAAAACATAAATGTCAATCTATTATAACAAAATTCAGACATAAGAAAACATTTATTGCCAAAACAGTAAGCCCATCTTCAACATATGTTCAATTTAAATGGTTAATTTTATGGTAATTAAAACTAAAATGCTTCAATTCTTTTCTTTCTTTTTTTTAGTGGTTCTTGCATTTATTAGTAATGGTGCCAGGAAAACTTATTCTAATTATAGGCGAAAAAAAACAGAAAAGAAAACAGACACATCTAATGTTCTATATTTCATAAACACATGCGTTTCTATATTCTATTTTAAGGTCAGACATACTTTCTCACACGTGATCATTACATGAGACACTGTGAAATTGTTTTAATTAAAATTTAAAATGAAGACAATTGAGTGTATTTTGATTTTTCTTATGATTTGATATTTCTTATGAAGAGAAAAAACAAATGTTGACTATGTACCAGTGCAATATTTTTATGGTTGATTCAAGGAATAGATCAGGGAACCATCATATTTTCAGAAGAGGCATGGACATTCTTAAGTTCCTAATTTTAAGAATAAAATATTTTAACTGTTATATAAGTTACATGTGTGCGTTGTTTTATTTTACAGACGTTTTATTTTACAGACGTTTTAGTTGAAATCTTGATCCAGCTTAAAGATGAAGATCCCCAACATAGGTCGACGCGGCGACAAATCTTCTACAGTCATCTGGTAGAAAAGGTTTGTGTTTACTGAAAGGTCAAGATTGTAGCAGTTTTAAGGTTCATCACTGTTAGTATTTGTAGCAGTTTTAAAGTTCAACATTGTAGCAGTTTTAAGATTTAACATAATGTAGCAGTTTTAAGTTTAAAATTTTTAACAGTTTTAAGTTTCAACATTGATTGTAGCAGTTCAACACTGTAGCAGTTTTAAGGTTCAACATTGTAGCAGTTTTTAGGTTCAATATTGTTCAACAGGTTTAACATTGTAGCAGTTTTAAGGTTCAACATTGTAGCAGTTTTAAGGTTCAACATTGTAGCAGTTTTAAGTTTCAAAATTTTAACAGTTTTAAGTTTCAACATTGATTGCAGTTTTAATTCAGCACCCTAGCCGTTTTAAGGTTTAACAAGTTCAACACTGTAGCAGTTTTAAGTTACAACATTGTAGCAGTTTATAGGTTCAACATTGTTCAACAAGTTCAACACTGTAGCAGTTTTAAGGTTCAACATCGTACCAGATTTTAAGGTTTAATAAGTTCAACATTGCAGCAGTTTTAAGGTTCAACACTGTACAATACAGTTTTATTTCTATACTAGATAGCTTTGTCTATTGAGCACACTGTTATACATCGTTTTCCTATGACATATTTCCTATACAGCTGGTAGGCTAACACAGTAATCAACATGAAAGCTTTACACAGCCACTACAATATTTATAATATTCCTTATCTAACACTGTCTTTTGGAATTTGAATTCGTTTATTATAATTTATTTTGATTTGAGAAAAAGTTTTCATATTTGCTTTGGTCATGGCCAATTGCAATTCATTTGTATGCACATTTATCTGCAATTATAGCAACTAGCTTAATGGTAACATTTATTTTCTTTTCTAGGATCTTTGTTCAATGATAAAGTTTCTGAGAGATGAACCAGACATTTTTGGCTTGGTTTTAAGGTAAGAAATACATATAAATAAATTTATCTTCATTTGCAAGGAAGATAATGAAAGGGACAAGACATTGAATAAATTTAACTCCGGAGAAATCATTCCCTAGGAATAAATATGAAATAGCAGAAAGCTTATGTTAATTTTGATATTAAGTTGAGCATCTTGGTAAATTTTAATGATACATTCCCAGGATACTGGCCAATCTAACACAACCGGTGGAAAGCCTGATTCATTCTACAGGGTACACCATGACAGAGGCAACTCAGGCTGGGTTGTCATGGCAGCAGGGAGTGGAGAGTTCCCTACATCACTACAGAGCTCTCTTCACAGATAAATCTCTCATGTCAAGCATCTTTGAGGAAATCAATACTCTTATAGCAGAGGTAGGACACGTTTTAATGAAATGTTACGTTTAATGTAAAATCATATATAGCAAAAAAAAAATTTTTCCTAACAGTTTCTGAAAAGTTTTGCTCTTCTTCCATTATAATTACTATCAAGAGCACATTCTTTGTCGTTTGTCTTTAGCTCACCTGAGCTTAAAGATGTTGTGATACCATTCCTTTGCTGTTTATTTTTAGTCTAAGGGAAACCCATATTAGAGGATTAAGTTGCGATGCCATTAATCAGTGCCTCTTATTTTGGTTTACTGTAGAAGTACTTTTTTCCGTATGGTATTAATTTACTCTAGGTACCTGGTCACAAATTTGTACAAGTGTACTTAAGGTCAAGCTCTAGTAAATAACTTTAGAACAATTTTTTGGTGCTAGATCCATTATGACGTCATAATCAATTTCAACTTTCTTTTTCCCGTACTTTACGTCCTTAGCAGAATTATGTAGAAAATAGGGTATTTTCATGACATTTAATTTGAAAGTCATATGAAACCATTAATCGTGCCTCCTATTTTGGTTTGATTTTTATTTGAAGAAGAGGCCATGAACATACTAATTTTGTTGTTTATTTTTAGACTGTAGGCAATAACCCCATTAATCAGTGCCTCCTTTTGTGGTTTATTTTTAGTCTGAGGGATACCCCCATTAATCAGTGCCTCCTTTTGTGGTTTTTTTTCATTGAAAATGAGAGTTTAACACCATTAATCAGTTTTTCCTTTTGTGTTTTATTTTTAGTCCAAAACACCTTATTTGACCAACCCAGAGTTGTAACATCAATAATTTAGTGCCTTTTTTGTGGTTTATTTTTAGATCTTGACCTTAATATAAATGCAAGGCATATAGTGAAGTTGTGAAATGCACCTAATCAGTGGCTCCTTTTGTGTTTTATTTTTAGTCTGAGGGATACCCCCTGTCAGAGGAGAGTTGTGACATCATTAATCAGTGCCTCTTTTTGTGGTTTATTTTTAGTCTGAGGGATACCCCCTGTCAGAGGAGAGTTGTGACACCATTAATCGTGCCTCCTTTTGTGGTTTATTTTTAGTCTGAGGGATACCCCCCTTAATCAGTGCCTTCTTTTGTTGTTTATTTTTAGTCTGAGGGATAACCCCATTAATCAGTGCCTCCTTTTGTGGTTTATTTTTAGTCTGAGGGATACCCCCATTAATCAGTGCCTCCTTTTGTGGTTTTTTTTAGTCTGAGGGATACCCCCTGTCAGAGGAGAGTTGTGACACCATTAATCAGTGCCTCCTTTTGTGGTTTATTTTTAGTCTGAGGGATACCCCCTGTCAGAGGAGAGTTGTGACATCATTAATCAGTGCCTCCTTTTGTGGTTTATTTTTAGTCTGAGGGATACCCCATTAATCAGTGCCTCCTTGTGTTTATTTTTAGTCTGAGGGATACCCCCTGTCAGAGGAGAGTTGTGACACCATTAATCAGTGCCTCCTTTTGCTGAGGAATCTCCTCCACTTCCCAAGCAGCCTTGATGACAACAGCAGCAAAGAACACGAAGTTCTCCTCAAGTAAAGCTACTTCTAAGATTATCTTCAGAATTTTAGAGCAATTAAAGCAAAAGTGGAAAATTAAACATATAAAATATGAAGGTTCATGTTCATTTTGATGCATGCACTCAATGTCTGACATGCTGATAATTTTGATTTTGTAGAATCCTGTTTGAGTGTGACTTTACTGAGAGATTAATTAGCATTCTGCAGCTCTCCCAAAGGGTAAGGAATAGTCCACATATGTGTATCAGTTGCCATCAAAAACATTCAATACTTATAGACAAGGAAGGAAATGGCGATTTAATGCCAAAGTATTGATTAAAAGTGATTAGTTACCAATTTGTAATGATAAACATTTGCAGATGAAAATTGAAGATTACGGTGACTGAGAAAAATACTGGACAGTGGTCTATTTGATTTAGAGCCTGATAATTATAATACAGATATACATTATACTTGTAGATTAATTCATGAATACCTATACAGTAATTAATGATATTTGTTTTAATAGGAATACCAGACAGTGGTCTAGTTGATTTAGAGCTTGATAATTATTAGACTGATCACAGATAAGTTGTACCTGTACAGTAATTAATTATAATGAATTTAATAGGAATACTGGACAGTGACTGCAGTGCAGCTGGTGACTCTTATATTTAAAGGCCACGTAAGTGTTTACTTATTAGTCTCTGTTATCATTCCTTATCAGTTCTTACTTACTTATAGTCTCTGTTTATCATTCCATATCAGATCTTACATTAAGGAGTCGATCAAAAGATTTTAGCATTTTACTAAATGAAACATATGAAGGTAACAAACAGTATTCAAGATCAAATGTCCATAAAACAACACAAAGTAGGAGCAGAGCAAACACGGACCTCCAAAACATCAGAGGTGGGATCAGGTGCCATGGAGGAGTGAGCATCCCCTGCTGACCTGTCACGTTGAAAGCTCTCAGTTAATGATAGATCCATTAAAATGGGCTGAATAAGACTTTGTTTTGCCTTAATAAGAAAATCAGTTTTCCTTTTTTGGACATTGTAAAATTAGATACTTAAAGAAATGACATAAAATTACCCCCTCCCCCTTCTTTTAGTATTTATATGTTATTATATGTTGACATTACAGATAGGAGAGATGTTCCTCCAGAACGTGTCAGACAGTAACACAGTCACGTTTCAGCTGGAGCCGGCCCTGGAGGAATCTCACGAATGTCTGATGTGTGGATGTCAACACAGCGACAAGGACTTCCAGTGTATTAATTACCTCGAGGAAAACATCTCCAAAAATCTCCGTCTCAGATCAAGCAAGAGTTCCTCTCTCAGTGGGTCCAGTTCTGATCTCACGGAACAGGAGGATGAAAGCTTACTGTGAGTACCACTGAACTGTCTCCAACCAAAATCTTTTTATAATTTGTATTGTTACACATAATTTTCTTAATATAATGTATATGCATTGTTATTTGTAATTGAGATTTACATAAATTTTTCCCTTTTTCTTGTAGGAAGTATTTGAAAGACTTTGCTCTCCAGTTTCTCACGAAGGCCTTCTGTAACATGGTACACGATCTCAGGGTAAGAGTTTTCTCCCTTTATTGTATTAAGATGAGTTTATTTCTGAATTGACTAGATTTAAACCTTCTGATTTCTATATTACAGCATATCCTCACCTCCCCATACAATGCTCTGATTGATGAAATCTACCTGTTATGGCTGCTGGCATTTTTCCTCAAGTATGCCAGACATCAGCATGTGGACTTTCATTACATCAGGTAATCATTAGACTTCTAATTGTTGCAAGTCACATCAGACTTCTTTGATGAAAACAACACCAAATACATAGAATTTTAAGCAACTGACATTCTGATGGAATTTGTCATTTTCTTTTTCAGGGGCACCTTCTCGACGGACATGTACGGTTTCCTGGTTTACGAGGGTGTGGTGAACTCGGAGGAGCTGGTGATAGCCCAGAGGAACAAGCAGGACACCACCAAATACCTAAGGAGGTGGGTATAGTGTAATAGACACCACTAAATAGAGACACCACCAAATACCTAAGGAGGTGGGTACAGTGTAATAGACACCACTAAATAGAGACACCACCAAATACCTAAGGAGGTGGGTACAGTGTAATAGACACCACTAAATAGAGAACCACTAAATAGAGACACCAGCAAATACCTAAGGAGGTGGGTATAGATTAGAATACACAACAAAATACAAAAAAAACAACTAGGACAGAGACAGGCCTGGTGGACTTTTAGCTCACCTGAGCTGATATCTCAAGTAAGCTTTTCTAATCACTTTTTATTTGTAGTCTGTCCGTCCATCTGTAAACTTTTCACATTTTCAACTTCTTCTCCAGAACCACAGGGCCAATTTCAAACAAACCTTATTCAAATCTTGACCCCCAGAGGTAGGGTGGGCCAAAATTAAATTTTCAAACTTGTAGGGAAAACAGTCATACCACAGTAAGTCAAAGAAATATGTAAGCATTCTTTGTTAGTGTAAAGTCAAGTCAATGCAAATCATACTCCCCATCCTTATTGTAGGAGGTTGGGACTACTTAAAACTTTGCATTAATTTTTGTCCCCCGCTTGAAAAGTGGGGGATATTAATTTGGGTTTGTCCGTCCGTCCATTTTTCTGTCTGTCTGTAACGCTTTCGTTTCCACACGATATCTCGAGAACCCTTTGAGCTTTTGCAATAAAATTTAGCATAGCAACTCCCTATGTACTAAAGAAGAACCCTATTGATTTTGAGGTCAAAGGTCAAGGTCATAAATAAGCAAATTCTGTCTTTTATAGCACTTTCGTTTCCACACGATATCTCTAGAACCGTTTGAGCTATTGCCATGAATTTTTACATAACAACTCCCTGCGGCCTAATGAAGACCCCTATTGATTTTGAGGTCAAAAGGTCAAAGTTCAAGGTCGTAAATTTATACATTCTGTCTGTGTGTAACACTATCATTTCCGGGCGATATTTCAAAAAGATTTTGAGCTTATGCAATGTAATTTTATACCAAAATTCCCTAGGACCTCTCTCACCCCTCCCAAAGTGCCCCGCCCCATTTGTTTTATTAGTATTTATAGTATTACATGTTGCTATTTTTAGCACAGGGGCATGAGGAGAGTTATTGCATATAAAACAGGTTCCCGGCGAACTTTATGTTCTTATTACATCTATTAGAACTGTTTAATAAAGGCTAAATAAATCAAACACCATGGATTGTGTAAAATTTTGACAATACCGAACATGAATATATACATGTATGTGACTTCACTTATGCATATACTTCACTCCTTTTAAAGAGATTCCGTGGTCTAGTGGTATGTTTCTCGCTTCCATTGTGAGAGGTCCCGAGTTCAAGTCCCGGTCGGACTACTTTTTTTTTTTTTAGAAGTACTTTTTTTTTTACTAAATAATAGTATTCAGAACGTGAAATGAAAAATTTACGAGGTCTGGCTTGTACAAACTCATAAAATCATCATTACAGTGTGATAAATATTCCATATAAAAGGAATCTTCTATACACATAACAAAGAATAAGCAATCAAATCTTTATATCCATATTGACATATTTTATTTGTTTAGTATACATGTATACATTTAATAATTCTACAAATTCAGTCAGGGAGACTGACCACCCCCCCCCCCCCCTGAACTCTGCATTGTTTACTTTTTCCCTAAGCGGGGGAGACACAAATTCTCTGAATTAGCTTGTTCTTTTTTTCTATCAACAGTGCTCAGGTGAGCAATGAGGTCCATGGGCATCTTGTTAGCTCTACTGGTCAGAGAGCAAGAGGAGCTTATGCGATAGTAATGCGTCCGGCGTCCGTCCGTCTGTCTGTCCGTCTGTCTGTAAACAATTTTTCAAAATGCTACTCCTCCTACAGTTTTGGTCTGATTTCAATATAACTTGGCACACAAGTAGACTACACTAAGATACATAATTCTGTGTATCGGTTTTTGATTTCGTTGAACGGCGTTGCCGTGGTTACTAAAAATAGAAATTTCTGTGAAATTCTTTCAAAATGCTACTCCTCCTACAGTTTTGGTCTGATTTCAATATAACTTGGCACACAAGTAGACTACACTAAGATACATAATTCTGTGTATCGGTTTTTGATTTCGTTGAACGGCGTTGCCGTGGTTACTAAAAATAGAAATTTCTGTGAAATTCTTTCAAAATGCTACTCCTCCTACAGTTTTGGTCTGATTTCAGTATATCTTGGCACACAAGTAGAATACACTAAGATACATAATTCTGTATATCAGTTTTTGATTTCGATGAACGGTGTTGCCGTGGTTACTAAAAATAGAAATTTCTGTGAAATTCTTTCAAAATGCTACTCCTCCTACAGTTTTGGTCTGATTTCAGTATAACTTGGCACACAAGTAGAATACACTAAGATACATAATTCTGTATATCAGTTTTTGATTTCGATGAACGGTGTTGCCGTGGTTACTAAAAATAGAAATTTCTGTGAAATTCTTTCAAAATGCTACTCCTCCTACAGTTTTGGTCTGATTTCAGTATAACTTGGCACACAAGTAGACTACACTAAAATACATAAATTTGTGTATCGGTTTTTGATTTCGATGAACGGTGTTGCCGTGGTTACTAAAAATAGAAATATCTGTAAAATTGTTTCAAAATGCTACTCCTCCTACAGTTTTGGTCTGATTTCAATATAACCTGGCACACAAGTAGACTACACTAAAATACATAAATCTGTTTATCGGTTTTTGATTTCAATGAACGGTGTTGCCGTGGTTACTAAAAATGGAAATATCTGTAAAATTATTTCAAAATGCTACTCCTCCTACAGTTTTGGTCTGATTTCAATATAACTTGGCACACAAGTAGACTACACTAAGAACATAAAGAGACTTTATCAACGATCATTATTCTATTTATTGCTGTTGTAAAGTTTCAAATCCCAGCTGCTTAAGTACTTTTCTCTTCCTTTGCTATAAGTTCAAACCAGTAGAGCTTCAGTCTCGACAGAGACTTCTGGTTTTTCAATTTTACTGGCACCTATGTTTTATTTTGTACTTAAAAATCTTTTTATTCCCATAGTCGCCATTCTGTAATTCATTATCATTTCTAAGAAGAAGCTATATCTTACAAATAAATAACTTGAATTCATGAGTGTATTGATGATTCTTATGTTTTAATTATCTAATTTTTCTTGTAGATTACATTTGACGTTAGGTGCTGTGAGAGAAATGTTGCAGGGTCTGAAGTTACACTGTGAGAGTACGAGTCTTAACCAAGCTGATATCACATATCTGGAGAATTTACAAAGTAACTCAGATGTTTCATTATCATTCTATCCACTTCTTAATTCCATTTAATTTTATTTTGTTAAAAGCTTCCAGCAAAATGATTGATATGCTTTAAAATATAGAATTGTACAATACTTTTGTAAAGTTTAAATCCATCCCCTAATCTTAATTTTTGTTTTTTATCGCATATATATATCTGAATAAAAAAGAAAATATATTTATTTGAACTTGACAATATCGACATTGATCACCCTGATTCTTTATTATTACTGATACCTATGAATCTATATGCATAAGTTCTCTGTGTATTGTATAGAGGATCTGGCCAGTACAGAAGACCTACCTCAAGTGTTCCTACTTCTGATCAGAAACTTCCAGATGCACACTCACAATCTCAAGTTCTTACAAGACGTCATCGTCACCAACCACCTGCTGCTTCTCCTGATGGACGTCTGGAGAATAAAGGCTTCGGCAAAAAGGGGTTCCACATGCTGGACCATGTCAAACAGTAAGTAGGTCAGATAGAAAGTAGATCAAGCAGTATGTGGGTCAAATAGAAAGTTTGTCAAACAGTAAGTAGGTCAGATAGAAAATAGGTCAAGCAGAATGTGGGTCAAACAGTAAATATGTCAAGCAGTAAGAGGGTCAAATAGAAACTATGTTAAGGTATAAGTGGCATGGGCACAACAGAAAGTATGTCAAGCCATAAGTAGGTCAAATAGAAATGTCATGCATAGTATGTAAGTTTGGAATCCTGGCATAATTTTTAAATTCATTGACATTTAATTTTTTGAGCTATTGATATCTTAGTTTAAATTTTCAAATGCGGTTTGAATTTAAAGTAGGAAATCATATTGCTGTTAAGTGAGAGATTTTATCTGGCTAATTAAGTAAGTAATTTATATCTGAGTACTCTCTAATATTTGTGCAGATTTGCCACAACAGAAGTGATGCAGAAATATGGTCGCCTACTTGAGAACTTTGAGTATAACAATGCCGTAGTAAATAACTGTATATTTACGATGATGCACCACATCGCTGGTGACTGTGAGAAACCCACCGCCCTGTTACAGGTCCAGATACTCCGAACCTTCCTAGAAATACTGGACAGTAACACACCTTTATCTCAGGTGAGAGTTCTTAGTAAAGTCGGATATCTTTTTTATAATCTACATGTATATTGTATTCTTTTAGGAACATTCAGTGTGTACTTGTTTTTCTAGGAATTTGTAATATTCTGTCAGTTTATTTTTAATTGCACATTTTTTTTTTGGACCCCAGGAGAAGACAGACTTGATCGAGTTCATTCTTCAGAAATTCATGGTTGAGGCGGAACATAATCCATTTTCTTGTGCTTTACAACTGTTTGGAGAAATGCCAGTTAAAGGGGAGAACAGGTAATTATTTATGGTTCTAGCTAGGAATGCATAGGAATGCATCTTGTCCATATAGCATTTTAAAACTTTGATAGCTACACTGTATTTACATGTAGTGCATAACTAGTATTTTGGATTTTGAATTAATATGTGAAAAGTTACGAAATTTTGTTAAAATTGTTTATTAATCCCCATCTGACTGTGCACGTATTCATAATTGATTGGAAAACAATAATTTCTGGAATCAGATGATTTTCATGAGCCATGGTTTACTCTATCCATTAATTTCTATGAAAGAATGTGTAGATTTACTCAATTCTTTGTACACACATCACAAACCGAGTCAGTGTTTCTATTGATTTACAGAAATTCGGAGGAAGCGGGAGTCGAGGAGGAAGATTTAGATGAGGATGAGGAGGATGCTGAGGAGACAAAGAAGGAGAAGGACATCCTGTTGATGTTGTACACGGAGCTGATGGGGCAGCCCGGGGCGCTAGGGACCATCTCCTGTAAACTCCAGGAATTCGGCATCAAGAAAACAGAAAAACAGGTACTTAGTTAATGCTCAGATTATAACCAACAGCCTTGTTGTAGTGGGATGGAGAATAATTACAGGATAATGATGGTGGGTTTTTTTCTCTTCATGTGTGTAAATTTGATTCCCATAGAAAATATTTACATGGTAAGCAGACAGGTTCTCTCATGGGTGGTTTGATATTTTGAAAAACCTGTCCAGAGATAATTAGTCAATTCTAGTCAGAAGATTTACATTTCCTTCCTTGTTATGATAAATCCTGGCTTGTTGTAGATTTCCGAGGATCTGAAGGAATTTGATTGGTTGACAGATGAAAGGAACACACAGGAGTTGGAGGTAAGAGATCTGAGGTCAAAGGTCAATACTTAAACGTTGATAGAAAGTGATATGGCCCAAAGTGTGTTTTAATCATCTTAAGCCTGTTTAAAATAAAAGCAGAATTTTAGTTTAGACCTTTAATAACGTATTAATTTGATTGATTTGATCAGGAAGAGAAGTCATCGTCAGAGAGCGATATGGACCAGGAGTCATCTCCCCTTGATCTGTCCAGTCTGAGTGATTCTGAGATCGTCATGCACTGTATAGACAAGCTGAAGGAGTCGGGGTACGAGTCTCACCTCAAGTGGTTACAGCGGCAGTTCTGCGAGGTCGCTTACGCTAAATCTGGTAAGGGCCATTCTGTTACTCTCAGTCTTAACATTTGTGTGCTGGGAACTTTATGATGGTTAACATTTGAACTTTGGTTACAAAGCAGGAATATGATCATGTGACATGAAGTGTACATTGTGTTGATTGATTTTGTAGCAGTTTGTGTGAGTAGTCTTCAGAAACAAGAGGCAGAGGAACCTGTAGCCAGATTCCATGTCAGTAAGTAGTTTCTATGAAAGGATTACTAATCATATTTTGTACCGTCTTCTTTAAAAATTCAATTTAGTTTTGATATTTTTATTTATCTAATGGTAGAAGTACAGTCTAAGAACAAATCGGTGCCAATCACAACCCGTACCAAACATTCTAACAAATGCTCATGAGCAGCTCATGAGACTCACATAAGAATCAAGTAAGAATTGTATTCAAATTAGGTAGAATTGGATTTTGCTCATGTGCAGATTGTTAGTCTCTGTTAGGGAGGAAAATACTAACCAAAATGCACATGTGCAAAATTTTCTCACCTCAATGCTCATGAGCAAAAGTCCATTCAATTTGCTCACCTAAGAACAGCCTTTATATTTAAGATATAGCATTGGTAGTGATTTTTCTAAGTTCAGTTTTCTCATGTGAGCAAGAAGTGAGCAAGAGGTGAGGAAATTGGACATAGTCAAAATTCAGTATCACAAGTAGAACCAAAACCAAAGAATTACAAAGTCTCAATTCCTCACGTGAGGCTCACGTGAGGAAATACAATACTCTGACACTCTATGTGGTCCAAGCTTTCCCAAGCCTTTATTACAAATTGACCATGTGTTAAGTGTTAGCACTTCCTGATGATAGCATCACAAATAATTGGGGACCAGGCAGGAATATCTAAATTTTCTGAGCTTCTAATCTTCATATTCCAATCAATTTGAAAATGCTTTCCTCTACCTAAACAACCTGTTGTGTCCCTCACTGTTACTTAATGTGGGGCAGTATCCAATGAGGAGAGCCAGTCAAGATTTGTGCGCCTTCTCACACCAGTTCAAAATTTCAATACAAAATGTTTGTGAGGGACATTGAAAGTATATGGATTAATACAGTGAAGAACTGAAATATGCTTTTGGAAATTACATGTCATCACCATATTGAACTAGATGCATGCCAGCTATAGCCTTTAAAAGTTACAAATGTATCCAGTATGTCCATGGGATTGAATCAATCAGATATTACCATGGTGCAGCCACCTCAATGAAGGAAAATTTCAAAGATTTGCAATTGCTGATCTGAGAATAGGGTAGGTGCTTTGAAATTTATTATCCCCCCCCCCCCCCCCTCATTTCAGATATTACTAATTAAAAAAAAATGATATGTCTGTGTGTTAATTATCAGTGTATTTAATTTTGATAATATATTTAATGCAGAATTTTATCAGGAATTACAGTTTAATTAAGAACTATAAATATTGTAAGAACAGATTAGGTCAGAGTGTACAATATGCATGGCAGTCTCGGTGCGGTACATGTACATGTGTATTCTATGAATTACATGTATTTAAGTTGCTAATTAAATATTGATGCATATGATTTTTCTATTGACTGGCTTTTCATGACCAACGGAACCTTGAAAATATACTATACTAACTATAATTTTAAATTTTTTTTGCAGTCTAAAAGTTGGAATCAAAGGATCTGCAGATTAATCACGGGCCCTAGCTGAGCTTGCATACATGACGGAGTTCTGATGTTGGCACTCATTTAAAGGAAATGCAAAGAAATAGAATGGAACAGGATGAATTGACATTATGATTCTTATGACCACTGGATTATTATTTTACACCCAAGTATGGCTGCATAACACTTATAAAATCAGCAAAGGCAGAAACATCTAATTAGCCTCCAAGACAACTTTAAGACAACTTTATTCCATCTAGTACTAGTGCGCAGTCAAAAATGTTGACTGGACATTTACATTGGATGTTCTATGTTAATCTACTGGAAATGGAACTATTGGATAATAATACCTTGATTGATGTGTACTGTATATAATTATAATAGAATATAATATATATTTTTTTAAATTTCATTTTAAGTTTAAAAAATGAAGTTCACTGAACATAATTATGCATGCATCTATTTACATGTACATGTTGCTCAAGAGTATTGAAAATGTAATTGATGAATCACATTTTAAAATTACATAATTATATAATAATATTTGTAATCTGAATTTTGTTCTATTGTTGCTTGTTCAAGTGAGCAATTGTTGCACATGAGCCTCATGAGACTCATGTGAGCAATATTCTAGGTGAGCAAAAAGATTCCTCAAGTGAGCAAAAAATGCTAATGTGCAGAAGCCTGCTCACGTGAGCATTTCACCTAATTTGCATGTTAAATTGCACATGAGACTCACGTGAGCAACTCAGGTGAGGAAATCTGGTTAGTCCTCACGTGAGCTGCTCATGAGCAAATTGTGAGAATGGTTTGGTATGGGAGTTTGTAATGTTCACTTAAATCATCATTTAGTCATGATATATATTTATTTAATGACAGAAGTACAACCTCAGATGATTTTTTTGCTTTAACAGTTAACAACAAATCGGTGCCAATCACATTTTATAATGTTCACTTAAATCATTTAGTCATGATATATATTTATTTAATGACAGAAGTATAGCCTCAGATGATTTTTTTGCTTTAACAGTTAAGAACAAATTGGTGCCAATCACATTTTGCAATATTCACTTAAATCATTTACTGGTAGTCATGATATATATTTTATTTAATGACAGTACAGCCTCAGATGAATTTTTTGCTTTAACAGTTAAGAACAAATCAGTGCCATTAGTACTGTACAACGAAGAACAAGAACAACTGATGCATAATCCCTACTTTGTTACCTTACTTCAATTCCTCGGACTTCACATGCCGGAAGATGTAGGTCTGATGTATCCCAGAATTCCTCATTTCTGGACCATACAACATCTGCTGGAGAAAGCCAGTCTGATTGGAGAGCTAAATATAGGTATGCAATTGTCTGTGTATGTATGGGAGGGGGGTTCTCTTTGTATTCCTAAGATTTCTCGCACCCCTTGATCCGCTGTAGAGGGTGAATTTGATGCATTTCAATAACATAATATCTGCACATTTTAGAGCAACTCAAATTTGATCCAGTGAAGTTGAAAGAGGGAAGAGAAGCAACAGAAATTCCATTCCAATTCAAAATAGAGGGAAAGGACGACATCACATTTGAGTATGTATTTTTTTTCCTCTCAGATAAAAAAAAACTGCTTTTATCATATATATAGTACTTATTATTTGTATTGTTTGAAAGAAAGAGAAAGACAGAACTAGATTTTGTTTTATATTTATTTAGGAAATTTTTTTTTAAGTTAATACTTTAAAAACAAAAAACAATAAATTTGGCACCTTAAAATAAATATGTTAGTTGATCTGCTCTCATTAACAAATTCCAACCACAACACATAGAGCAAACTTTATTTTCTAAACCTGGGATTAGAATTTAAAGGTTATACACAAAATTGAATCTTTTTAAAAATTTTGCTGATTGAAAAATTATATATTTTCACAGAAAACTGAGAAAGATTCCGGATTCCATTTGGATGAAGATGATCCAGCAATACAACAAACATTCCGGTGGCGACTCGAATTGTGGCAGCCAGACGCGCACAGCGAGCCAAGCCTCGTGATCGTGGCTTCTTCACAGAGACTAAATCAGAAGCCACAAAGTGGTGCTCTTGTCAATCAGCTGGCTAGCACTGATATAATAAAAAAAATGATGGAGAATTTCAGACAAAGTTTGAAGAGCCAGAGAACAATTTTACATGTTTAATTGGTGTACACACGTAGAATGTTTGGGACTTCCACTGAAGCCATTGAGGCAATGTTTCAAGCCAAGACAAAAGAACTGAACATGAGCTAGACAGGTTCTAGTCGAAGAATACTCAAGGGAAAATAGATTCTAGGCTGTGTGTTATTCTGGAGATAAAACTGTAGCCGTTTTTCTTGCATATTTAACTTATCACAGAGACATTCATTAGAGGTACAGGGTCTAGACTGTCTATATTTGGGACATGAGAGCAGCGCCTCATCTGGGAAATATCACCAATTACTGCCACCGTCTTGACAGACCTGAGAGAATCATTGAAAATCTATCGGTAGTAAAATTAAGAAAAATCATCTTATGTCAGTAAATACATGTACACACTCTATATGCGTCATAAGTTGAATTGTAGCATCAAAGATAAACATGTCATCTGTTTTGAACACATCAACATCAAGTTTTCATTTATGTATAATATGTGTACTATAAAGCTAAATATGAAGATCCGTAGTTTATTGGACTTGGATGTAGTATTGTACTGAATTACTGTGTTCTGTTAGGTGTTATTTGGGCATTACATGTTTTTACTTGTTAAAACTTGAGTAAACATATTTCTATGTCTGTATTTGACATTAAAGTTCAGCATTTAATGTAATGTTGAATTGTTTCTTTTATTACAGAGCTCTACATTTCATATTTCTTATTAAGTAAAAGAACTTAATGAAATTTTCTTATAATGCTCAAGACTGACCTTTAAGACTGACCTTTAAGATTTCTTTGATATTCATAATTCATATTAGTTGTCTTTATAGTGTTAATTAAACAGCTGAAGTATTTACACCATCTCTCTCTCTCTCAAGGTAATCCTAACTGTCCATGTTGAAGCCTGTATGATTTTTTGTCAAACTATAATTATTGATACCTAATGGCTATTGTAATTTTACAGGACTGGTGGTGATAAAATTGTTTTTTGAAACAGAAAGCATGTAAAATGTGCCATGATCTGAACGTTGGTTTATATTACACTAGTTTCTCTCTGAAGGTCATTGTTATTAAACTGAAGTATTTATTGTATTTGCTGTTAACTTTATTGCCAAATATTGTTTATCATGTCAACTGTTTTAAAAAAATAAATCTAAATGACTAATATTTTGTCTCTTTTAAAAAAGAGTTTTAATATTGTAGGCATACAGCCATTTTATATCATAGAGGCCGTTTAACTTGGTAATGTTTATTTTTGTGAAGGAATAATGTAGAAAACTGTATTATAGAGAAATTATTAATACCCTCCAAAAAGGGGTGGGAGTTGTCCCATTCTCACTACCCTCATGGGCCTGATGATGGCAAAGCTCTTCCTTCTGTCTGTCCTTCCATCACACTTTCCATTTAGCTCAGTTTCAAAGAAACTATTAAAGATATTTTCGTCAAACTTCATATGCTCATAGATATTGATAAGAGCTATGCAACTGCATTTTTTGACCTTGGCTTTTCCTTTGACCTCGACCTCACTTTTCTGAAACTAGTGTTTAACTCAGTTTTTAACATACTGTTAAAGATGGTGTTATCAAACTTCACAAGTTGATACATACTGATGAGAGCTATTCAACTGCATCATCATATTTGTTCTAAACATTTCCTTTGAACATGACCTCATTTTTCTTAAATAAGTGCTTTGCTCAGTGTAAAGAGCCATTCAAAATGGTTTTATCAAACTTCATATGCTGATACATACTGGAGAGCTATTCAACTGCATCAACATTTTTGACCTCAACCTTTCCTTTGACCTTGACCACTCTTATTTTAAATAAGTGTTTAGCTCAGATTTTGAGAAACCATCCAAGATATTTTAAACTTCATTGGCTGATACAAACTGATGAGAGAAATTCAACTGCATCAACATTTTGACCTTGACCTTTCCTCTGACCTTGATCTCATTTTTCCTAAATCAGTGTCAAACTTCATAGGCTGATACATAATGATGCAAGCAATTCAACTGCATCAACAATTTTGACCTTGACCTTTCATTTTGACCTTGACCTCACTTTCATCAAATTGAGTTTAAATCAGTTTTAAAGAAATCATTTAAGATATTTTTTCTGCATCAACATTTTGACCTTGACCTTCCTTTGACCTCACTTTTCTTAAATTAATGTCAAACTTCATATATGCTGATACATAATGATGTAAGCAATTCATCTGCATCAATTTTTGAACTTGACCTTTCATTTGACCTTGACCTCTTCTATCAAATTTTGTTTATGTCAGTTTTAAAGATATCATTCAAGATATTTTTATCAAACTTCATATTTTGATACAAATTGATGAGAGATATTCAACTGCATCAACATTTTAGACCTTGATATCACTTTTCTTTAAGGGGGCTCTCTGCAACGTCACAACATGGCGTACTTCCGTAAAAACGCCATTTTGATCCCAAATGATCACATTCAAATTCACTCAACACCGATAAATCACTGAGTATAACACAACATGCGATATTGTGGATGGAATGTACATTATATCACATCAATTAATACAGTGTATTGCCCAATACGTATCCTTTCTTTAAAAATGAATTGTTTGTCAATTTATTCAATTTCTACTTATTTAATTATTAAATAATACATTCACAAACTTATTAGAATAAGATTTTTGGATGAGAAAAAAAATGATATAAAACATGGCTTGTCCATATGCTAATTCATCATTACGTGTCAAAACGCCATACACTCAGATATTTATTTCTCCAATAAGCATATATGCTTTTCAGCAAAATATATTCCCCCAAAAATGCAAATTTGATAAGATAAGACATATGTATTATCTTCCCATCGACTAGAGGATACTCGGTTCTCGATTTGTATACACCCGAATGAATGGTTATACCCGGTGAAATTTCGCATGACCCAAACGTTTGATCACCATTGATTGTCAGCTGTTTACAAGTATGGGGAACGTGCAGGTTTTAGACGAAGTGTGCATTTGGTTATAGGAATTTCTTTTACCGCTTTTGGCCATTTACCATCTTAACTTGTTTTGTTATATATATAGCACTGGATAACACATGCAAGTTGGATAAAAACGGTAAGTAAATCTACCTTTCTCAATACCATGAAGTCACTAAATACATGTCTTTGTCATAGACTGGAAACACGATGATTTTCGCTTAAACTCATTGAAAAACAATACATGTACAATACGAACTTCTTTCAATGTCCTTGCGTGACAGTTTATTTGAAGTTTATATAAAAAAAAAAACAGTACCAAGATATTTGAGTCCACTCTTAAAGCGGATCTCTCACACCTGAATTTTTGTGATGTTTATAAATTTTTGACAGTTTTTCAAATTTTTTCAATTTCTTTTTTTCATTGTTTTTACCCTTTGATATTATATATCTTTTCAGATATTGAAGAGGATCCAACCAGCTATTCTCAAGAAAATGCTGTTTTAGTTTTTCTTTTGTCTATTTTTGTAAATTTAAATAAAAATTATGTTGATTTTATTTTTATCTTTGTTGGTTATTATATCAATATTTTATAACGCTAAACTTTGAAGAGAAATTTAAAGCACTGGGCTTTTAAAAATATAGATAGGAGGGATTTTAACAAAATAAATGAAATATTTCAAATATTTCTAAAAAATAAATTGAAGTACTTTGGAACCTTATTTTATCGGATATGGGGCCTATTATTAGAAACAAATGCATGCAACAAAAATCAGTTATACTTTATAGGTGTAGAGAGCCCCCTTAATTACTGTCAAACTCATGTGCTAATGCATACTGATGTAAGCAATTCAACTTTATCAACATTTTTTATCTTGACCTTCATTTGACCTTGATTTTACTTTTATCAAATTGTGTTTAAATCAGTTCTAAATATGAAAACCATTGATAATATTATTTCAACTTTATATGCTTATCCATACTGATGAGCTCTTTTCAACTGCATCAACTTTGTTTGCCCTTGACATTCTCCTTTGACCCTGACCTCACTTTAAAGAAATTAGTGTCAAACTTCATATGCTGATACATACTGATGTAAGCAATTCAACTGAATCACTATTCAAGATAATTTGATCAAATTTCATACACTAATACAAATTTTCATGTTGCATTACTATTATACCCTTGGCGGGGCATTCATGTCCTACGGACATATTTGTAGTCTTCTTTGAATTTTACTTTCAACATCTTTAATAGATACACATCAAAATATTTTTTTTTCAGTGTACTAGCATTAAAGCTGGACAGGTTTCATATAAGAAACTTGCCCACCATATTTAATTGGTCTCTTGCTATATCTGAGGTCCCCTATATAAACCTGCTCACTTAGCTGCTGTCCAGTTTAATCAGTTATCATTAGTGTAGATAGACATATGCTACACAGCACTTGGTAGAAATAATTGTTACTTCATCTAATACTGGAGAGTAAGATATACCAAAGAAACTTACAACAGTTGCAGAGGTCAGTGCGGTATACAGACAAACACAAATATTCGTAACTGCAATAAAATGTAAAGAAGGGTAATGCAAGGATGAAAACATACTCATGTGTCACCATTTCTTACCGATAACTGTGACAAGTAGGCATTCTGGGGAAACAAATTCTAGGGGTGCTGATATTGTAGTTTCTAAATTAGAAAATGGTATACAGTATGCCTATTTACGAGTCAGCTTAAAGTAGAAAGTTTATTTTGTGAAAGTGGTAAGATATGTGTCAATCAAACGCATTTCAAAGATTGAAGTTTTTAAAGTTTTAATAATCTCCACATAAAAGAAACTTCTGATAAAAGAGAATCTAGGTAATTGTTTAGATCTTTTAAAGATATATTTTTGTACAAAGTATTGTCTACAAGAACTATATACACTTCGCTCAGTGGTTCAGTGACTTGAAGTCTACCATGATTATGAGCACAATCTTTACAGTACCTTATACAACAACCACAAATTGAATGTCTCTTATTCTCAATCCCATATTTCTGGGGTCTTTGGTATTTCAAGAAAAGTAATCTTTACATAGACACTGCAACAATTTTTCTAAATCATCAATTGTTTACACAGTAAAACCAATGAACAATAACACAAGCATTTGATAACATACATTTAAAACAGAATTTGATATACTTTATCAAATTTCAATGAAAATTAAAATGGACATTTTTTTTAAATGTACAGAAATTTTTTTCAAGTTAAAAATTGTTATTTGCAGCTGCTTGCATTTTCTTCTGCCTCAATTCCTCCAGAAATATTTCCATCATATCTAGTGAACTTTTGCCCTCTGCTGATGGAGCACCAGTTGTCATGGGAACACTAGCCCCTGCTACATCATCGTCTGCTTTTCCTGGTTTACCAGCTTTTGGACCATAGTAACCACTACCCTGACCAATCGGCGGGGACCAGCTCTCCTTCTTCCTCTGTGGAGACCTGCTCTTAGGACGGGAATTCTTGGGGGACCTTGACCTGTGTTTTGAGCGTGACCTTGACCTGTCCCTTGATCTATACCTTGATCTGTCTTTAGATCTTGACCTTGACCTCGATCTGGTCCTTGACCTTCGCTTTGAGGAGTAGGAACGATCCTTGTGATAGTCCCCCCTGCTTTTATAGCTGTCATGATACTGGCCCCTTCCTCTGAATTTTCCCCTTCCTCTATCTATAAACTTTCCCCTTCCCCTATCTACATACTTTCCTCTTCCCCTATCTACATACTTTCCTCTTCCTCGGTCAACAAACTTCCCCCTCCCTCTACTGTTATCAAAATACTTTCCTCTCCCCCTGCTGTTATCCATGAATTTTGAATCCCCTCTTCCCCTCCCACCCCCTCTCCCATGAGACCCAATCTCCAGCTTGACAAAAGGTTTGATAGTTATTGATTTACCATCAGACAAGATTCTGTTCTTATTATACCGATTAATCTCATAGATTTTCTTCCCGATATCATTCTTGTCTTTCTTTTCATCACCACTATGAGGTGACCTTGACCTTTTCCTTCCAGACCCACCACGATGGGAACTTGGTGACCTGCTGTGACTACTGCGTGACCTTGACCTTCTCTTTTTATGTGATGGCGGTCCTCTACTATGTTTGTTTTTGTCGTAGGAGGAGGACCGGCTTCGACTGGAGGAGGAGGAGGACTGGGAACGTCTTCTCCGATAATTCGATTTTGATCTTTCATGCTGGGTAGGGGAGTCATCTCTTTTTAACTTGACTTCAAACAGTTCTTCTTGATACGCTGGCTCTGGTTTGGGAGCGTAAATCTGCTCTGAGTGTAGGACACTCACGATGCTGACAGGGTCCTCTTCTACGCTGTCAAAAGGTCGCACGCCCACCGGTCCAAGGCTTCCTTTCTGCTCCTCCACAGAACTGTATTTGTCATTTCGAATGTGGATTCTTATTCCTTCAAATTCTCTATCCAGGTCTTCTTTAGATGGAAGACTAAATTTTTTGGGTTCACCTCTTGGTTCTCTCTCCCTCGATGACGACTTTTGTATTTGTGGTACCTTTGTTTCCTCTTTAACCTTAGTCACATCCTCCCTTCTCTCCGAGGTCTCTTTAAATGTATTGCGGAACTTGGAGACCGTCTCCAACTTAGGCTTTTGTTCTTGATACTTATCATCAGAATCGAATCTCGACTTCCTTACAGGGTTCAAGTCTTTGTAATATTTCTCATCTGACGGACTGTCCCACCTCGATTTCACCACTTCTTCTATGGACCCTATCTTGTCAGGTCTCTTTTTCTCTGAGTCCACATCACCTGGATATTCTTTCCTCTTTTTGTATTTCTTTTCACCTCTGTATTTTCTGTCTCCCTCCATCTCCTCCATACCTTTCTCCCTCTTGTACATATCTTTTTCGTCTTTATAGTATCTTTTTTCCCGAGGAGACATGCTTCCTCGACTTTTTCTCTTCTTTTTCTCTGCCTTGTCATCTTTGTTCTTTACTTTCTTTGCCTTCTTCTTCTTCACTGGCGACACGCTCTCACTTCTTGATTTATCATCATCTGTAAAACTCTCCTTCTTTATTTCATCTTTATGAAGTATTTTCTCTTCTTTGAGCTGTATAGAGCTGTGATTTCCTGACTTTGGGGAAACACTCCTTTTCTGACTCAGAGATCTAGAGTTATCTTCCTTCTTTATTGACAGCTGTAAAGGTTCAGTAGATTTGGATTTGATTTTCATTAAATTTTCAGTGAGGCCTTTTTTCACCCTTTCCTCTTCTTGTCTGTTAGGATCAAAATCATCAATGTCCCCATACAATAAATCAAGTTCCTCTTTCTGAGATTTCTCTCTGGGCATTTCTTGGTACTCCATACTTTTCTGGTCTTCACTGGTACTTCTGTCCGGGTTTCTGTGCAGTCCTTCAGGATAAGGATTTATATTCCTACTTCTATCTGGATATTTCTCCAAGTCTCTATCTGGATTTCTATCCAGGTACTTTCTATCAGATTTTCTGTCCATACTTCGTCTGTCTGTTCGTCCTTCCATACTCTGTCTGTCTCTGCTTCCACTAGACTCTCTCAGCTCTCTGGACTGTTCTTCAAATTTCTTCCTGTAATCTGGATATTCACCTCCACTGCGATCATTATCTCTTCCTTTAAACATAAAAGATGACTGATGGTCTACATTGTATTGACGACTTGGAGATTCCTCAGGTGACCTTGACCTATATCTTTGCCTAGATTCCTCTGGTGACCTTGACTTATATCTTTGCCTTGGTGGGGATTTCTCTGATTTCTCAGTCTCCTGTCCAAAATCCAAGCCTGGAATACCATCATATTTACGTCTGCCAAATATATCCTTGTCATAATCTGGAGACCTTGGTGACCTTGACTTCCTTGACCTTGAACTTCGTGGGGATCTATCCTTTCTTTTCTTGTCACTCCTAAATAGAAATATAGAGTTAAATATTGTGAATATGATTTGATTTCTCAAGTACAAAAAAGAACTACTTTCTTGTTGCTTTGCCTCACCTGCTTCTGTCCTCGTTAATTAACTTTTTCAGTGTCGCTGTGGTGCGATCCATAAACATTTCCTCATCTGAATCTCTCCCGTCATCATATCGCGACTGTTTGCGGTGACGGTCACTCATATGCTGTCGATCCTACAAAAATTATTACTTTTCACAACACTGTTTTCATTACACATACAAAAGAATGACAGATGATTGTTTTTCAATAGGTACTGTAATATAGCAAAACTTAAGAGTATTAAGTCATCTTCCTGTACTAAAAAATATAACTCATCTACAATTAGCTTATCGTTCATTTATGTTTAAACTTAATATGGATATAGGATATTATAAACACTTTGTACAGTGATCACTCTTGTTTGTAGGAGCAATATCTACTAGAACCCCGTTTTTATCGTACCTTTTTGTAGAGTAGGAATCGGAGGGCCTCCCTGGCCTCTACAGACTGAGGTTCTATGTCCAGGGCCCTCTTTATGTACATCTCAGCCTCCTCAAAATTATCTATGTCCTCCTTCCTGTAAACAGAGAAAACAGTCATGTTAAACATTTCAACCTAAAGAACTTTATTCGGCAATAACCAATATTTGCCCCCCAAATCAAACTTTGATGGAGATATATTTAATTAAGTTCGTAAACAGGGGAGTATATGCTGACTTAAAAGCACTGAATATATTCATAAGTAATGACGCCATATGTACGTAATGACGTCACAAACATGACATAAATTTCAGTTTTTTATGAATTTCAAAGTCATAGCTTACAGAAAAAATGTACATATTTCGTCGATATTTTGAGTAAAAAAGTTAGTGTGTTCAGGATCAATATTTTGATATTATGTGTAGAATGATAATATCAATGAAATATGTCAATATTGTTCCTGAACAAACTTTTCTATAAATTTTAAAGCTAAAATTGTTGAAATTTTGTCCATTTTGTCCTCTTTCTGAAAAAGGATATAAAATCGGACTAGTTTGTGACGTCATAAAAACAAAAATTGTGAATACACTGCTTTGACACTATAACATTTTCTGTTAATTTATATTTCTCATATAATTTATTGAAATCAGCACATTTCAGGAAGTTTTCAAAATTTGACTTTTGTGGGGGCAAATATATGCAATATACCGCATATAGTTCTTTCCCCCTTTTAATACCTTGCTTTAAATGAAATGTACTATACGTAAGGAATTAAAATGTGGGTTACTTACATTCGGGCTACGGCTAGTAATGTTTCATACATGTACTTCTTAGCATTCTGATGGTTGGGGTTTATTTTTAAAGCTTCTTCAAAGTCTTCCATAGCTTTAGTGTAGCTCTCATTGTTTGCATACCTACAAGTTTAAATGTGATATTAATTAGTTCTTGTATGTGAAAAACAATTTCTTTTAATACGCGAAATATAATTCTCTTGTTGACTACTCAGCTCTTCTTTGAAAGGAATTTTATAACAGCTATGTGTACGGGATGTCCTTTAGTTTTCTCTTGGCTGCTGCTATCTGCCACCTCCTACCAGCCAATGACATAAATCTGCAGGATTTCTTTATCTCTATACATACCAGGCTGCTCAGTGCTTTATTGTTTTGTATACTTACAGGGCCCCTCTAGCAGTTAGAGCTTCCACATTTAATGCATCAATCTGTAGTGCTTTATTGTTTTGTATACTTACAGGGCCCCTCTAGCAGTTAGAGCTTCCACATTTAATGCATCAATCTGCAGTGCTTTATTGTTTTGTATACTTACAGGGCCCCTCTAGCAGTTAGAGCTTCCACATTTAATGCATCAATCTGTAGTGCTTTATTGTTTTGTATACTTACAGGGCCCCTCTAGCAGTTAGAGCTTCCACATTTAATGCATCAATCTGTAGTGCTTTATTGTTTTGTATACTTACAGGGCCCCTCTAGCAGTTAGAGCTTCCACATTTAATGCATCAATCTGTAGTGCTTTATTCAGGTATTGCATCGCTTCTGTTTGCTTTCCCATCTTAAAATATTTGATACCTTCTGCAACACTGAAAACATAAAAGTCTGCACATGTCAACACCTGGTTATCAAAGTGAACACCTATCATGGTTTCCTGTTACATTTTGTGTAGACAGATGTCAGACAGGCTGATGTTTTATCCACAGATACATATCAATCGCAAGAAATTTAAATTAGTATGCATCATTGTGCATTGATAGAAATTGTCATGATTTAAAATTTTCATCAAAACTACTTTAAATTTGAGTTCACATTTTGCAAATTACTACTCAGAAGACATCGTTGCAATCCACAGCCAAAATGTACGACTCCTCCCATTCTGGATGTGAGTAAAGCATAGTCCGAAAATGAACTTTGACATGACCTTGCAATACCTAATCACAGTTTACAAAATATTTCTAGTATCCTGTTGAAGTCATTCGTTGATTTCAATTGCAATGAAAACAAAAACATATAAAAAAAAAAAAAGCCCATAATGTACCTATAATGAGCCCACTATGTACCTCTGAAGTGCCCACTTTTGGGATTGCTGTTTTCTCAGTCCCTCAGCCATCTCTTTCTCCGGAAGTTTCAATCTAAAATATTACAATGTTGACAGACAAATGTTGCATTACAGAAACTCTTTTTTTGGTTAAATCTTTACTATTCATTGATAAATCTACAATCATACATACTTATGCAGGCCTCTCATGTAGGAAGACGAGTCCTCTAGCTTCAGTACCCCCAATAGGTAGGGCACGTTTCCCATGTTGTTAAACCCCAGAATCGAATGAAGGAGTTCATCAAAGGTCAAACCGCGAATATGTAACTTACGCCTGTAATAAAACATACAAAGGTCAAACCGCAAACATGTAACTTACGCCTGAAACAACATATATAAAATACATTAAAAATTTTATCAGGGACCTTTCTTCTCAGTTTTATATTAAAGATTTAGTTACTCCTTTCAATTATCTTCATATGTGTCAAAAGCTGTGTAGTGTTCAATTTTGTTTCATAATGAACATCTTTTCTGTGCCAAAAAAATGGGTGTGTGATATTAACCTCAAGTTTTTTTAAAATCATTTATATGAGTCTGAAAACAAAAATGGATTATTCAGCATTTCAATATATCTGCTGGACTTAAAGAACATCTCCCTCTGACACAACACAATCAGATATTTTGTTTGTCCTTCATCTTTGTCTTTTTTACCTATACTGCACAGGAAACTCATCTGCATTAATTAAACCCTGAAAATCAAAAAATATATATAGATAATAGTTATCCAATTCAACAATGTCAGAGAAGAAAACTTAAAATTTTAGAAATGAAAAAAAAAAATCATAATTGCGTTGTTACATTCTGTTATGTTCTTTTTATATTGGCAAAAACATATGTATATCTGATTTTAAAAGCTGTTTGAATTTTTCATGCTGGAGACATGAAGTATCCTTAAAATATATATTTATTTCTAATAAAAAGTAAAAAAAATTTTGTTAAGTTGGCAAATAAAGTAATAAAAGTTACTGTATTTGATTTCTAATACTGGGGACATTTTTAAAACCTTTCTTTACACTATGTAATTTTCTAAGATTCATACCAATTTAATGTGCTCCTGTTCCTCAGAGAGAGCTCTCTCATTTAACGAGACAATGATGCGTTCGGACTCCGAGTTCACATTCACTACCACACCTACAAAACAACACAAGTCAATATCAAGAATGCCAGCACACTGAAATCTGTTAGGAAACCACCATAATTAAAAAGTTATTTTACGATCCTAAAAGTTTGAATCCTGACCTCTGACTTTGTCCTTGACAGTAAAAGCCTCTGTGGGGCTCTGATATGGGACCCTAGGGAGCTCCTTTGCGGGACAGAATGCCGTTAATTTCATCTCGTCGATATCTCGAGCTTTGTCGTTATCCAGACAGAGGAGAGTCAGGACAAGTCCACTCTCCAGTGAGGAGGTCACGACCCCTATCACAATGTCGTATCTCTCTAAACTCTAAAAATAAAACAAACATAGGTAATCAGAGATTACAGAGCTCACCTCAACGAATGATGTCTTTAAGTAAGGCAAAGTCACACAATTAACCAACAAAAAGTGTACATTCCAGAAATGAAAATATTTAAGCAATTTTGATCGATACATCGAAATAGACCTACATAAAAAATTTAAACTAGTTGTTCATGAAAATGTAATTAAAATTAAGCATCTGAAGCAAATTTGAGAGTTTTCATCTCCTGATGCAACATTTGTGCAAGTTTGGTTTGGTTTATACAATGTTATATAAGCCTTCAAGTTTTTTGGTAATTGACCTGCACCCATAACTTTTACCTGGTCTATTATCTGAAAAAATGTATGTCGAATTCAGCATCCAAAGTAAGTCCATTAGTGTGCATCCTGATGTATCGTCCATGCAAGTTTGCTCATTATAGGGCTCATAGTTAATTGGAAATGATACATTCATCACAAACTAACATTTTCACTCATCCACAAAATGTAGGTCAGATTCAGCATCCGAAGCAAGCCTGGTAGTATGCATCCTTAGATGTATCATCCATGCAAGTTTGGTCAACATAGGGTTTATAGTTACTTGGAAATGAAACCTGCACCAAAAACTTTAACCTGTTCACTCAACCAGAAAATGTAGGTCAGATTCAGCATCTGAAGCAAGCCCGGTAGTATGCATCCTCTCCGTGCAAGTTTGGTCATTAAAGAAGTCATAGTTACTTGGAAATGAATTATGCATAAAAAACTTTAACCTGTTCACTCAACCTGAAAATGTACATTGTAGATCAGATTCAGCATCCGAAGCAAGCCTGGTAGTATGCATCCTTAGACGTATCATCCATGCAAGTTTGGTCAACACAGGGCTTATAGTTACTTGGAAATGAAACCTGCACAAAAAAATTTAACCTGTTCACTCAACCGGAAAATGTAGGTCAGATTCAGCATCTGAAGCAAGCCTGATAGTATGCATCCTTAGATGTATCATCCATGCAAGTTTGTTCAACACAGGGCTTATAGTTACTTGGAAATGTTTGGTGCACCAAAAACTTTAACCTGTTCACTCAACCGGAAAATGTAGGTCAGATTCAGCATCCAAAGCAAGCCTGGTAGTATGCATCCTTAGATGTATCATCCATGCAAGTTTGGTCAACATAGGGCTTATAGTTACTTGGAAATGAAACCTGCACAAAAAAATTTAACCTGTTCACTCAACCGGAAAATGTAGGTCAGATTCAGCATCCGAAGCAAGCCTGATAGTATGCATCCTTAGATGTATCATCCGTGCAAGTTTGGTCAACATAGGGCTTATAGTTACTTGGAAATGAAACCTGCACCAAAAACTTTAACCTGTTCACTCATTCGGAAAATGTAGGTCAGATTCAGCATCCGAAGCAAGCCCAGTAGTATGCATCCTTAGATGTATCAACCATGCAAGTTTGGTCAACATAGGGCTTATAGTTACTTGGAAATGAAACCTGCACCAAAAACTGCACCAAAAATGTTAACCTGCTCCAAAAACATTAACCTAGCCATTCCTTTGCTGAAATTGCAGCATCTGAAACTTTGACTGGTACAATGAAACACATTAGAAGCATCTTCCATGCATGTCTAATCAATATAGGACATAGAAGTACTTTAAAAGAAAACTGCTCCAAAAAACTTAACCTGGGACGCCAACGCCGACACCGACGCCGAGGGTATTACATAAGCTCCCCCAACTTCGTTGAGGTGAGCTAAAAACTCGCATAATTAAGAATTGTATCTAGAGAAAAAAATACCATTTTACAACTCTTTAAACAGTTAAAATACCAGTACAATAAATTTACAAAGTTTCAATATAAGTGTTACTTCTAAAAGTCATTGAGACAAACTATAAATGTACTCACATTGAAGAAATGTCTTCTGGCAGCGGTCCAGTCCACCCCCATGAATGACTCAATAGGCGGCATCTTGGCGTAAGTATCTGGTAATAAATATTATAATGACTACAGAGATGGCACCTTGACATAAGTATAGACCTAGTAATAGATCAAACAATGCTGAAAGCTCTCTCAATCAGAGATCTTACCATCACTATATGCATGTATATTTATAAACAATGTACTTTAATTTTTTTTTTATTGATTGCTTCCGAAAATGTCCTGTTTGATGCTGTACAGGGGGAAATTTTCTCTTCTTAAGAACATCATAAACGATGACAGAAATTTCATTTTAAGTTATAAGGACAATAAGTATAAAATATCGGTCTTTACAAACATGACTAACACACATTTCATATTTGTACTAAATCAAACACCTGTACTAAGGTTCAGAAGGGGAACTGAACAAAAAATGATTCTCCCCTTTTAAAACTGTGCAATGTACATGTATTGGCGAGGACATCTTTTATAGCAATTTATGTCATTATCTAATGAGAGGTCCAGCATACCTTCATCAGTGGATACTGGTGGCTCTACTGAAGCATCTTCTAGATGTGTAAACAAATAATCTGCCTTCTTAGCCACAAAACTCTGTATTCTCTGGGATATATCTCCTCGAAGCCTAAATTCAAAGTTTAAATTTAAAGTACTGTAAATTTCAATTCAACTACATCTAAAATTTGTCAATAAAAAGAAAAATTTGCAATTCAAACATGCTGTCCTTGGCAGTATCTACCGAGGTGTTAATAAGTAGATATCTTGACATATTGACCTTACCCCGTTGTGACATGCTGTCCTTGGCGGAATCTACCAAGGTGTTAATAAGTAGATATCTTGACATATTGACTTTACCCGTTGTGACATGCTGTCATTGGCGGTATCTACTGAGGTGTTAATAAGTAGATATCTTGACCTATTGACCTTACCCTGTTGTGACATGCTGTCGTTGGCGGTATCTACTGAGGTGTTAATAAGTAGATATCTTGAACTACTGACCTTACCCTGTTGTTATGTGCTGTCGTTGGCGGTTCTACCGAGGTGTTAATAAGTAGATATCTTGAACTACTGACCTTACCCTGTTGTTACGTGCTGTCGTTGGCGGTATCTACCGAGGTGTTAATAAGTAGATATCTTGACCTATTGACCTTACCCTGTCGTGACGTGCTGTCGTTGGCGGTATCTACCGAGGTGTTCCGTCATGCTACTGGGCACCTGCTGCTGCTCTATCTGTAGACATCTCACGAGTTCTGGTCCGTGGTACTGTACTGCCTGACCCAGAAGTCCAGAGTCCATGGTGACAACTTATAACCTGTAATCAAGTTCACAAAATAACACATGTTCTAATGTCAAGCAAGTCCTTCCATCAAATTTAAAATTAAAACTATGGGGAACAAGAAAGCACCAAAATAATAGGGATTTACTTTTATGGATATAGACACCTTACATATACATGTCAAAAACAATTGATCTGTATTGCTCTATCATCATTTCATGCATGGATGAAGTTGAAAACCACTTTTCATCCATTTTTTTAAATGAAAAAAAAAAGTCAATTTTCTTGCTATTCAGACTGAATTTCTGAAAAAACACAGAAAAACAAACCTGGTCTTTTCCAAGACATTGATCAATAAAATTATACATCTTTTTTATTGCTACATTATTTTCGTATTTTAGGAGGGCATCTTATTTCCCTTTCTCCCTAAATGGTAGTCCTCAACAACACTAGCGATTGTTCAAGCTCTTCAATCATTTGCCTTCCTGTAGATGTACTGTCATCAATTGCTCAAATTCTTCTAACATCATAGGAAATGTCAGCCTTCTTGAAAGAGCGTCGTCATCAGGTAATATCAAATCAGTCTTAATGAAAACACCTCCCATTGCCGTCTTCTCTGTATACATTACTTTTTTGTTTCCATTCTTTACGAGTGTTGCAGATGAATTCCTCATTTTTAATTCTCTGTCTGACATCTTCCAAGGCTACAGGAATGCTTCCAAAGCAGCATGTATTTCAGGTAACCACTGTATACTACTCACTTCACATCATGACTAAAGGAAGATTTGGTAAGATATATAGCTCTTCACTGGCGTGGTCCATCGTTTAGCATGTCTTATACATCAGAAATCATCTTTTTCAGTCTCGAGACATTCAAATCTAGTTTCTCCCCACATATAAATAAGCCAAATTGTAATTTTCTTTACATCATTTTGATATGATAAATATATAATTATGTACAATTTAAACAAAAAAATATATTAAAATCAATTTAAATTCCATACAATATATATTTAAATAACAGCTAATTTTCAGTCTTGCACATTTCCATTACTTGGCCAACTTGACAATATGCAGCTTTTGGTCTCCTAAAGAATTAGAAATGAAATATTTAATGTGTGACAACTTCTGAAGTAGATCTACATATATTTACAATGGATATAATTAAAACTAAGCATACCTGATATATTCGTACTGGATGTCACAGCATGCATTCAAGATAACGAGATCGAGAAGTAAACGAAGATATAAATAAATATATGTAATAATTTAACTAATTATTTCTGCAACGAGCTGGGAGCATTAATTTACTTCGCATTTCCTTTATTTTACTTCGATTCTTTTATTTCGTGTTCAAACAAACGAGTGTAACTGTATAAGCATGGTACAAAACACAGTTGACACGATTTATAAGGATAAGTTTCTGTTTTAGTTTTCAAATACAATCAAGAATACACTGTCTAACACGTTCATGACTCTTTAAAGAAAACACGGATTTATTAACTCGAATTGGCGATACGACGCTGAAGCCTTTGCCCAAAGAGCAAGTAGATCTGTCACTCCTTGTTCTATGTTTTTCAATGTTGACTCTTAATTTGTCCCCAAAACAACATCAACAGGCAACATTGCAGGAATTTAATGCGATTAAAATATGTGCAAACCTATGTTGTATTCCGTAAAACCTTCTTCATTTGTTAAACTGAAAAAGAAAAATCCAACAACCACCAACCAAACATGGAGGGCATGCAAAAGTGTTTTCAATATATGAGTTATCGATCCCGATGTTAAAATGTTACAAGTATCTTTACTCCTCGCTAAGATATTTAACAGTACTACAGAAGTGAGAGTACTGTGTAACATTTTATTCGAGGAGTGCTGAGTGGTGTAAATCAGATGTGGATAGTTAAAAATTCCAAGGAACTAATAAAAAAATTATATCACAAGTTTACTCAGTAAAATCAGAGACATACAGAATGTCTCTGGTAAAATCAACACCTTAAAAAGTAAAAACTTTCGACTTTTCAACTTTATAAAAAATTAACCATTCCCATCGCCCGCGTGGCGCGATGGTTAGAGCGTCTGCATGCTGTAGAGTAGCGAAGTATATTTAAGTAAGGAGTTGAGCCATTGGTCATTTGCTTTTTTCAAAATTCATTCTGTGGTACACAAAAGTACTCTAAAGTTGATATTTAAAAGATGCTTGCGTTTCTGTTTGACAATATCTGTGCGGTTTTTCGGAGACCACGTCTTCCAACACAATCTATTGGAATTCCCATGGGTACCAATTTCGCTCCGTTATCAGTAGACCTTTTTAAGTATTCATGCGGAGCAAAATTTGCTCGAAATCTTGTACGCGAAAAGAAGAAAACCTTGTTGTGGTCTTCATTTCGACATTAAGATATATCGACCACGTTTTGTCGATGCGATATAACGAGGTGAGTTTGACTGAGATAAAAGATACCACAGAGTCTGATACATTTGTTTATAATTCATACTTGGATATTTTACGAGAGAAGACGTGAATGGTTATCTAAACAACCAAGCTCTATAATAAACGTGATGATAGATGATGACTTAACTTTTCAATCGTCACGTCTCTTGCCATATGCATCACTATACCTTCATCATCTCATTCTGGTTCTGCATACGGGGTATACATGTGTATCTCAGTGTCAGGGAATTCGATATTCAGGAGCATGCGTACTATTTCTAAACGATCATGTCAATCATGTCAATTATTGACAAACAAGTTGCTGAAACAAGGATATCAGCAGTCTTGTTTAAAGTCATCATTTCATAAGTTCTGTGCCAATCTATTATCGATACAATGACCTTTTCAGCAAAAACAATCTTTCACTAATTTATCGAAGTCCGACAGTACGTGCTGACTAACATTTTTTATACTACATTGCAATTGATAGGCCATTATTTGCACACTGAAATGTCGATGGATTTTCTTTGTTTTTCCTGATAATGACAAGGAGCACACGGCGGGTGTGAATGATCGGCAGAGGATGCTTATTTACTCCCCCAGAGCACCTGGCCCCACCTTTGATGTTATAGAGGTCTATGCTCTGCACCTGAATTTGTATTGTTTGATGGACTTTTAAGCTTGAATATTCTATGTATTTCATTGCATGAGCTATTTAGATATTTTATATGGAAGTGTATAATGTATTAATGACTTCGCGCCATTTTCCATTTTTGATCGGGATCAGAGTAAGAGAATAGATCACTCCCACGTGGATGACGTCAAGGATGGAAAAGAAAGGAAATTGCGTTTTATTCAAATCAATGCGCCGATCAGAAAATATAGTTCTTTAAATCTTATACAATTATTAAAAGTTTAAACTATTTTAAGATACAAATCATGAAATGAGACTTAAAATGTAAAATTTCATTTACAAAACTGATATCATATCTTTCTAAACTTGACAAAATATCGATTTAGATTTATAATTTGCGGAAGGTTATTCGGTCCTTTATTCGCGGTACTTAGCGAGAACATGTCCTATAACTCCGAAGATGGTGATAGGTAAGAAATTAACAGAATGAAATGGAGTGAGATTTGTATGAAACTTTATGAACTGAAACTTCTACCTACAATCTAACATTTGTGTAAATTATGTGTCCATATATTGACGAGTTTATGAGAAAAATGATTTCGATATTCGGTTGCGAATCTACCACGGTGTCATGGCGGACACCGGTTCGCACGTGTGCACTCCATATGGAGATGGTTGAAGTAAAAAGAGATGGTTACAGTCGATCTGATGTATAAATTCTATCATTTAATAAAGGATTGTATCGTATATATTGTTAAATTTTAACGTTTTGTTTTCCTTGGCGTACTACCGGCGAAACATGACCACCTTCCAAGTCATTCAATGATCACGTGGTACTTCCATTTCCTTACCAAGTTACCATTTTGACATTTAATTTTTTTTATGAAATCTCCATATTTTGAAATGGGGAGTCTATATTTCACTCCATCGTAACCGCACTTCATCCATAATTTAAAACTTTACTGTGACTTTTGATGAAGAGATTTGAAGCACTATACCCTTTCTTTCCCAAATCCAATTTTCTCTGTAGATGTCACCAATTTCTTATGGAGAACCTAACTATCCTTCCTCAAAAATTTTTCATTTTTTTTATTGCTCAACAAATAATCAAAAACTTGCAACAAACTCGTGCAAAGTTCAACTCTATCAGGTTGGGCACACATCCCCAAATGGTCATTTAACCCCCGTTTGGTGGTCAATCGCCCATATCGGCGTCTTTATTAACCACCAAATGGGAGAGAAAAATCGTTTCGTTCAGTTCTCTGGAATGACGTGAAATGGCGCATAATTTCAACTCACAGGGAATAAAATATAGATATTTTTCTAAACTTTGAACAAAAAAAATCAGAATTTCAACGCGGGTATTTTTGCGCAGTGTCGTTCAAATATTTGACAAAATCGTCACCTATGTAAGCAAGTGTAACGTTTCTGTGTTTTAACTTAAAAAGAAAAATTCCCTCCATCTCGCGCGTAGTTGCACCTATCAATCGTGTTTATCACTTCATATTTCTGCCATCCGGGCAACCAATCAATTATCTTAACCAATTAAAAATGACGATCTTTTCCGAACTTGGGTCAAAAGACTGATTTAACTACGGAGGCCCATTAATGTTAATTTTCAACAAGTAAAATTAGGGGAAGGGTAAGAATTCGCTTTCATTTCGTTCATTTCGTATGCAATGGTTTTATCTTTTACAAAATTACAATATGCAGTGAATTCATGATAAAATAATCGCTCCAAAACTATAATCTTGGAATAAAAACAAGAATAATTGCAAAATGTCACTTTGTGAATTTTTTATTCAAAAATATTTAATAAATATAGTAGATACATCATAGATATGCATACTAAACCACAAAGGGTCGCACAGAAATCGTAACTTCATCCTAAAAGAAAATAAAGAATAAATGTTACATTCAAATGTAGGAAAAAATGAATATTATAGCAATAAGTGCCCACCATACAAATAAGATACGAGGAGCTCGTGTTTAACGGGATTTTACAGAGGTTTATATAGGCGCAGATTGAAAGATCATTTATAAAGTTACTTCTCTAGACTAACATCTCTTGTTTAAATATATTTTTTACCGAACTATACACAACAAAATAATTTTTCGTAATGTTTGAGAAAATAGTTCGGCCGTCACGAACAACTATGGGTTTCGTTTTTACGAAGTTCCAAAGAAATTCCACATGGAAAATTGACTAAATTGTATTAAATGGGCGAGGAATGTGTTATTTAAAATTCCCCAATGCCTGAGTAAATGCGCTTTTGCTTTATTTTAATAAGAATTGGATTTGAATAAAAAAGACCACCATTTGGTAGGTAATAAAGACGCCGATATGGGCAATTGACCACCAAACGGGGGTTAAATGACCATTTGGGGGTGTGTGCCCAACCTGTCTATAACAAGAAAAATTTTAATGTTGCTAGAAATATTGTATATTGGAAGGAAGGTGATGTGTAAATCAAGTAGAGAGGAATGATTAATGAATGAGTGATTATTACTACATTTTATTTCACAGGTCTCGGAACGAGAGACCACAAAGTGGAGACAGAGGGGAAAGTAAGGAGGAGTATATCCCAGAAGCTGGCGGCCTCATCGAGGTAGGAAGTCTGTAGTGTACAAGGAAAGGCCTGCTGTATATATGTCATAAGAAAAAATAATTAATTTTAGAAATATGCAAAAATGATTTATTGCAAAGAACAAATGGCAGATCTTTAAAAAAATAACCTCTAAATTTTTAACACAGGTAAAGTTTTGACTTGTTAAGATTTTACTGTGTATTAAATCACTTCCTGCATAGAGGGATTAGGCGACAAACAACCACAAGTAGACTGCTAGCTCCAGAGTCATTCACACCTGTACAAAATAAGCCAAACCCCCACCCCCACCCCTTAACATGAAAATTGCCACACGGTCAAAAATCTCTTCCTTTAATTAGAAAAAATGAGATTTTTTCTTTTTATTCAGAGCAACTGGGATGAAGTGGTTGACAACTTTGATGATATGAATCTCCGAGAGGAGCTGTTAAGAGGAATCTATGCCTATGGATTTGAGAAACCCTCAGCCATTCAACAGAGAGCTATCATTCCTTGTATTAAAGGTATGTGCTATGTTAGTTTGATCTTACCTTCCCAAAAGCACCACGCTCCTGCACAATGGGTGTGATGGCCGTCAAGTGGAAGAAGAAGAAATTGTTCTAAGTGGGTGAGGTCTTCTTCAACATGAGGAATATCTCAAACTAGAGCAGCACACTCAAGTTTTAAAAAAATTGTTATGTTTTAATTATTAAGTGAACAAAAGAATTATGAAATTAATGATTAGAGAGTGAAGGAAGTTGTACAGTGACCAGTCAACATGAATTAATTTTTGAAATAAAAGTTCATGGCCAGAAAATCTCTTAGCATAAAATCCTTGTCCAGGGCATATTGTTTAC